TTAGAAGGATTATGTCTATACAGTAGCTTATTAAAACAAACACTGTAATAACTAAGTAAATAGAATCTGGGAAGAATATGGGAGGAAAGAAAAAATATAATAAATCACCTTTAAAACCACGGAACCACCATCAAAAAACCGCCAGCAAACCACCTTAAAAAACCACAATAAAACCACATTCAAAATCATCATCAAACCACAATCAAAACACCCTTTAAGACCACAAACAAAATAACATAATTTTATCATAAACAATTAAAAAGTACCATCAAATCAACTTTAAAAACCACCATCAAAACACCATCAAACCACATTCAAAACACCATCAATGACTTTCAAAAACCATCATCAAACACCTTCAAACCATGTTCAAAAACCATAATCAAAACACCATCAATGACTTTCAAAACCCATCATCAAACACCATCAATGACTTTCAAAAACCATCAAACACCTTCAAACCATGTTCAAAAACCATAATCAAAACACCATCAATGACTTTCAAAAACCATCATCAAACACCATCAATGACTTTCAAAAACCATCAAACACCTTCAAACCATGTTCAAAAACCATAATCAAAACACCATCAATGACTTTCAAAAACCATCATCAAACCACCATCAAAACACCCTTAAAGACTACTATCAAATTACCTTCGAACCATCACGAAAACCTTGAAAAACCACCATCAAATCAACTATAAAAACCACCACCAAAACACCAACAAACTACCATCAAACTACCCACAAATCACCTTCAAAAACACCATCAAACCACCACCAAGCCAAAAAATATATCAAACCAACTTTAAAATCCATCAACTCACCTTCAGAAATCACTATCTAAGCACTTGATCAAACCACAATCAATTTACCATAAAATCATAATACAAAACACCATTAAATCATCAAAACAAGCCACCATTAAACCATCTCCACACTGAAATGGATCTTAATTGAATTGGATTGAATGGATCAGAATTGAAAACTGAATAAGACGGAGGGGCGTATCAATTCTAGTTTACAGTTAATTCAGTTTCAATTCTAGACACATTATTCTGATCAGTAAACGAAGCGCTGCTTTCTGCACTTCTTTCACGATTCTGCAGACGCCGTGTTGAGGAAATGTGTGTTAACAGTTTGGACACCATGTAAACATGTTTAAGCAACTGGAAAAAAGAAAGAGCTGTAAAAGCTAACATATGGAACGGCCCACGCCGACTGGCACAATATCACATCCTCTGCTGTTACACACACCTTATCATGTCACTTATCTCTGCCATCATAAGCTGTGATGCCTCATGACTATTCCACATTCATCTGCCTGATATTTTCTGCCTTGCTCTATTGCACGGGGGTCTGTCTACTGTCTGTCTAATACCTAATTTTTCCTCAGAAGACCATTACAAACCGGGCAGGGTATTAATGGCTGATTTATAAGCGCATTAACAGAAAAAATTAATAATTAAACTAAGCAGAATTATCTGTAACATTTTATTTTGATGGTCCACTGTAGATGTTTTGTAGATGCTCACCTTGTCTTTAAATTACATTCTAAAATGAACTTTAACCCAAAGCCTAAACTTGGTCCTAATCATAATCCTAACCCTCGTGCTACTGAGAATCAAATGAGTTTCAGTAGATAATTCATAACAATTAGAATATTTTTGCTGTAATTAGAGTTAAAGTTCTAAACTAATTGTACCTATTTGTGTGTAATATTTATACACTGAAAAAAGGTGCTGCACTCAATTATTTGACTACAACTAAATTTAATGTGTTTAACATCTTGTTAAAAATAAAACATAAAATATAAAATATGCCATAATGTTTGCAAAAGCCAGATTTTACATTTTTTTTCCCCAGTATGTTAAATTCAGCAAATAAACAGTAACTGGGTATGAAAATGCATTCGACGTGTTCAATTATTTTCACTTAAAAAACGGACAAAAGCTCAACAAATGCCCAGACTTTTGCACACGACTGTATGTCATCATGAAATTACTACACATACAAAAAATTACAGTATATTATTTATTATTTCGCTTTTTGATGTTTCCAAAATACTATATAAATACTATATCCCTGATAGCAAGAGGTCAGTGGGCCACTGCTGGTCCGCTGATGGCAAAGCTGGCGGTCCACTGGCGTTTTGCTCCGCTATTCTAGGCGGCCCACCGGTGGTTAAGCAGAGTAATGAACAAAATTCCAATTATCTTCTCTCATTTTCCACTCACAGTCCAATTTACTGATTTTTCCTTCCTTCCTTTCTTTAATTATACTTTGTAAATTAGTTTAGTAAATAATATTAATCTAATACAGAGTCAGCAACAACACTTTCTATAAAAGTTTAGATCAATACTAGTTGTTATTTTTCCTCTCAGTTGTTTGTGATATTTGTCTTAGTTCATTTTCCAAACTAAAAGTCTGTGTACATATAAAACCTTTTTGAGGAAATTAAAAGCTAGTTAGAGCTTCTATGCAGGACAGTAATCTGGGTGGTCCGAGGGTGGACCAGCAGTGGTAAACAGTAAGTGGGATGCCGACCTTATCAAGCCAGCAGACCGATATGTTTGTTATCTGGGACGTATCATGTTAAAAATGAAATATTAAATAAAACATAATATAAAATACTTGTTGTGTCTGGCTTATTAGGGTTGGGTGGTATCTACTTGTTTCACACCGTTAAACCAAATATTACCACTGTGTACGACAAAAAGCGTCATAAGTGACATAAAAGCATTTGTCTTGTCCTACATCATTTTAAAATTGAAAATAATCAGAAAGTTAAGCCCAAAGTCTTACAAAGTCACCAAACAGGTGAACACAGTGCACGATTTTCAAGCCATCATTCAATAAATTTGCTAACTGTTAAAATTGCTGCTAACCAGGCGAGAGGAGCTGTTAGCACTAGCTTAGCTAGCATAACAACAGCTCTGCTCACCACAGGACATACTGGATTCTGGCTAACTAAAGCACCGACACAAGTTTAGATGATAATGATTAATATCTGAAGCTGAAGTAAAGCAGCTGGTGCTGAAGAGCCAGAAAGGAAGAATGAAACCCGTACGGCGTTTGTATCTGAACTTCATGTTAGCTTAGCATTCAGACTACAAACACCAACAGCTACACGCTACAGTACAGGTTTGATTCTGCCTGCTCTGCTGACACAAGTGTAGATGATAAAAGCTCATTCCTCAGAGAACAAACTCTCTGGTGTTGGAGTGACAGAAATCCAAAATCAAAATTTTGGATAGCGCTGTTGTCGGAAGAAAACCTCGTATCTCCAAAATAGTAACTTCACAAGAGAAGGAAAAAACTTTAATTTTAATGTATTCAGGCTTTTTTTCCAAGTCATTTTGAGTCGTTTCTTTTAGTCCATTCATCATGAAATTTACACACAATGTAAAGGGTAACAGACATTTTCAAATCATATCAAAAAACTGAAAAATGGACTGACAAAACTGGAGATACAAGGTTTTCTTTCGACAACAGCGATAAGCTAGAAAGCTTAGTTAGCATACTTTACATCAGGCTCAGTTCCAGCTAACTGATACTAAAGTGACCTCCGTTTAGAGGATATCTGAGAGCGACCGGTGTTACGAGTGAAAGTGGGACGTGTTCTGTGGTGAGTGAAGCTTGTAGTCGTTGCTGAGCTGCTATCATGCTTAGTTTTCCTGCGGTTTTTACTTGGCTCTGATTTTTCAGTCCCATACAGAATTCTGATATATGGTCACATATGTACATACATCATAAAGGGTCAGGCATATATTTCAAAATATATGTACATATATGTTGTGTAATTATATTGTCACTGCCTAAAAAAAAGGAGACCTCCAAAATTTTTCACGATAAGGCAAAAACGTTCTTAACTTTTAATGTGAGTTAATGTAAAGAGATTTTATTTCGAGGCATTTCTATTAGTCATTCCATCATAAATTTTTAACACACTGAAAAGAGCAAAAGACTTTTAAATATAAGACTTACATATGTTATATATGGATCATACATATATGTGTGATCCTATGATGGTTGAATACGTCCCAGTAGTTGTAACTGTTCCTATGTTATCTGTTTGCTTTTAAATATTAAATTGTTTAAATTTGTCGTGGAACAATATTTTCATTTAATTCATGTTCTTCATTTATGTTTTCTTTAGTTATGCAGCTATTTAACTCATTTTCTTTCCATTTAAAAAGTGTCACAAGAATATAAATTATAACATACATGCTGAGCTTTTTACATTCATATCCATATGTATACAGTCTGATGCAAACGTTTGGTTACTATTATAAACCTATAATATTAAGGTAGGTAGGCCATCAGTATATGAATGATGTTTCTATTATATATTGTGTTTTATCTGTTATACATATATGTTTGTATATGTTGATATATGGCTGAAATACATGTTGTATATTTGAAAATGCCCCATTTCAGATAAATCACCCATATGTCCCTATGTGTGTACAAATACTAGTCAGATGCTAACATATTTCATGCATTTGAAATTCATAAATTGCAAACTATCAGATATACGTATGAGATGAGCCGCTCTTAAGTATAAATGGTGGAATGCGTTTATTTGGCTGTTCAGTCATGGAATAGAAATTTGACACATCATAATTATTGCCATCATTGTTAAATACCATCAATATGTTATTACAACATTATTATGGTATAACCTTATACCACCCAACCCTGCTTATAGTATTTCAGTCTACAGTGTATGTGCCATTATTGAATACACAGCAATTATTAATATGATGAGATCTTAACCTGCAGCTTATATCAGTCGGGTCCTGGACGCAATATAATTTATTCATATGGAAATGTGGTACATAAGGTAAATTATATATAATACTTTCTTTCTGTGTACAATGGACAGCCAACCTCTGATAAACATCATTTAGTGAGGATTATCTCTAATAGGACAACGGTAACCGTGTAATAAGGCACCACTTTTGATAAGACGACAGTAAATTTGATCCGTCCCACCTGCAGCCTGCCGTCCAGCGTCCTCTGGATGGTGACACATTTGCTGGGATGGACCCCGTTGGTGGTGATGGCAGTGATAAGAGAGTCCAGCTCGTCTTTCTTCTCCTTGAGTTTCTTCACCAGGCTCTCGATCGCCCTCTTGGCGAAGCCCTCGTTCTCCCCGCCTTGTCTGTGGCACATGAGGCTGTGCACGATGCTGAGGCACGCATCATTGCTGTTGGGGGGGTTCACCGACATCCTGCTGCTCCAACAGATGGAGTAACAGAGAACAACAACACTGTCAGTCTACACGCACCAGACATGAAAACTCTGAGCAGTGAAAGAAGTGACAGGGTCAGGAATAAAGCTTGGTCCGGCAGAGACAAATTTTATTGATTTAACGTGAAATTTCTTGTGCATTCTAACACCGCGTCCTCGCGGCAAGTAAGAGCTCAAGCGTAGTAACAAGTCGCGAAGCCTTACGGATGTCTACGTTGGAAACATCACGTCACACGTCAAGGCAACACGTAAACAAACCACGGACAGATCAGAAATGATGGAGTTGTTCAGCTGTTGTTTTAGGACATTGATTTAAATTAGTATTGCACTGTTTTTAGACTGTAGAAGAAATGACTGTCTCAGATTTCTTCACAGCGGTGGTGATAGGAACCACTGAACCTGCACTGCCTACAGTGTTGTTCAGAGGAAAGGAGATGTAACACAGTAGGAAACAAGCTCCTATCCCAACTTTTTGGAACGTGTTGCAGGCACCATATTTAGAATCGGAATATCTAAACGATAAAGTTCATGAGGTAAAACATAAAATACTGAGTTTTGTACTGTTTTCAGTTTAATACAAGTCGAACAAAATTTACTAATCTCTGCTTTCTGTTTTATTGGCATTTCACCTACTGTTTTTTGGAACTTTTTTGGAATTGGGTTAGCACTACAAATTATTCAGCATTTACTATAAATTATTCAGTTTCTACTACAAATTAATCAGTATCTACTATGAATTATTCAGTATCTACTATGAATTATTCAGGGTCTACTATGAATTATTCAGTATCTACTATGAGTTATTCAGGGTCTACTGTACTATTTATTATCTACTATAAATTATTCGGTATCTACTATGAATTATTCAGGGTCTACTATGAATTATTCTGTATCTACTATGAATTATTCAGTATCTACTATGAGTTATTCAGGGTCTACTATGAATTATTCTGTATCTACCATGAATTATTCAGTATCTACTGTGAATTATTCAGCATCTACTGTACTATTTATTATCTACTATAAATTATTCAGTATCTACTATAAATTCTTCAGTATCTATCATAAATCGTTCATTATCTACAATGAATGTCTATAGTTTTTACAAGACTACTCAGAAATAATTCTGAATTAAATTATTCATTTACTGAACTCTCTCAGTAATAGCAGTCCTGTTTGATTTGACAGCACAGTAACCTAATACCAAACCAAGTAAAAATGTGCCTCAATTTTTTTTTCTTTTTTTGTGATCTGAAGACAGAATAACAGCTGAACTGGAGTTTGATTTGACCCAATTCCTTAATCCCTACAGTTCCTTAAATTTCATGACAAGACGATTTTGTCGTGATGACCGAATTACACGGAGAAGGAAAATGAAAGCTCTCAAAAATACCTCTCGCGAGGCAACGCGTTTCTGTCTTGTTGGGTGGCATTTGGTAAATTTCACTTTCACAGCTCTTTGACCACCAAAAGCATAAGATATAATAATGCACCATCATTTGGAAATCCCATTGATAACGGACATCCAGCGTCACACTTTGGGGTTTATTTTTAGTGGCAAATGCTCCTGTAAATGTCTGTGTGAGGATGTTTTGATCCAGACCACTGGAGTAACTTTAGGGATATTACACAGATCCTTTATCCTGTACGAATTGACCAGTCAAATCACGCACAAATTACATTACCAGACCTGCTCTGGTAAAACTAATCCAGCTCCCAGCCTAGACTAAAAAGAATTTCCAAATTTTATCCTCTATTGACACTGAAATTGAGCTAAAATTAGGTGTAATCCATGTACAGTTTGAGGGGTTTTAAATCAAGACATTTAAGTTTCCAGTTGAAGAAAAAAGTAAATTCAGTGCATCACTTTTCTCAGTGTGTCCTTGTAAGTGACACAATTTCAGTATCAGGTAGACTCTTTCAGCATTTCTGCAAAAAATACAAATAAAGGATTCCTCCAGAACCTAACAGACAGTTATCACATCATATCACACTTTTCCAAAGAGTGAATGGACAACAATATTTGGGTCTTAGTGAACTTTACTTCTCCTCAACCCTCTTCAAAGGCATTTTGACTTACAGCCTTTAGTTCATGGAGCGAAGCTATTTTCAACTATGCTAGCGCTAAAATGCCCTTTTAGACTGTAAAGAGCCTTCAGAGGCAAAGGTTTCCTGCTCAAATAACGGAAAAAATGTAAAGGTTAGATAGTGCAGCCATATCAAAAAGAGAAATATGAAAAACATTTTTATTATCAATTAACTCTGTTAAATAGCGGTTCAATTATACCGAGATTGGTTTTAAAGACCTTCTGACCTCTGAAGACCATCGCTCTTATTGTGAGACGTTACATAAGCATATTTTTCAGTTGTGTATGAAGAAGTTTCATAAGAGCAGCACTGAAGACATCTTCAAGCATCATCTTCGCTTTCCTGAGAAAAAGCCCAACACTAAACAACACTGTCTAGTCTTACCATTCCGATGTGAGAGATTAGTAAACAGCACATTCCTGATTTAATAGACATTGCAAGCAATCAATAATGAAAAGGTTCTGTTGACCTGTGAGACAGAAAGTCAGCGCTGAGAAAGTTCAGCACAAATGTAATTACATTCCACGGAAAAACTTCATGAGCTGCCAGCGCGTGAAGAAGAGTTAGTTATGCTAAGTGTACTTTCAACCCCGTTTTCACAGACAGAAAATGTAATTTCTGCCTGTTTTGGAGCTCCATCAGTTGAACTGTGCATCCTTGTTTCTCCAATTACGTTGATGGAATATATTTCGAAGTGTGTGATTTACAAAACTGGAAGCAAAGGCTACGTTCACATTACCAGGTTGAAGTGCAAATCCGAGTTTTTGCCCTAATGTGACTCAGATCTGGTGTTTTCAGAGCTGTGTGGATGCAAATCTGATCTTTTCAAATCCGACCTGAGCCACTTTCATATGTGGTCCTAGATCGGATATGTATCCAATTAGTGGTCATGCGACCTTAATGTGGCGCTCAGATTGGAATTCACGTGCTTTCTTTCCACTGCGCCATCATTCAGCGTTACCATGGCAGCAGCGCCGAACAGAAGTTAAAGCCTGGAAACGGTGGAAAAGCAGCTCATCTCACCTTTTTCTCCTTCGTCTCGCTCTAATAATGAAGCTGAGAGCTGATCAGAGTTAATTATCTTCTCAGCGAAGCTCGTTCTGCTCGTTAGTTTGTTTGCTGATGACGCAGGTGATTCACTCACGTGACGTTACTGAGTAGGATGTGCTCATGCGGGTCATTCCAGGAAGCTGGTTAGTTCATAATAATGATGGATTTGAATCACTTACCTAAACGAGTGTGAACCATCATGTCAGAGAGATCGGATTTGAGCAATGAGGCTTGTAATGTGAACGTAGCCAAAATGGATTTTCATTTGCATAGGTGAGCAACCATATCAACATTAATAAAAGTTCTTTTACTGTGTTTAAATGCTAATTTTTAATATGTCAGATCATCTGTTTTATCTCAGCACAGCCATCTTTGTGGAGAGGTGGGAATAGTTTTCACGCCCCTCCCCTTTTGCCCCTCATTGCTCACTAGCAGCTCAACACATTAGAGAGAGAGACAACAGTGTTCTAGTTCACCTGGTAACAGAGTTATGGGGAACAAATATTGGTAACACTTCCTATGAAACCTATATATTTATAAATAGTAGCAATGCTTTTTAAGCACACTGTAAGCAAACTCTAATAATGCCTCATAATAATGTACTATAATTAAATCTCTGATAACATATAAATATAAGTTTATAATCATTGTAAACAGATAACGACCGATACATAGTTATACATTTTTAAAGAATTTGTGAATAATATTTCAGCCCCCAAGTATTTTGCCATGGTACGATCTGGCCCTCTTTGAAAAAAGCTTGGACCCCCCGCAGTACAGTATCCAGAATATGCTTAGCCTTTCAATCGCTGCTTAGCAACCATTGCTAGCCGCTTTTCAGGCCTTTCCAGGTTAGGCCTTTAGCAACACACGCAGACATACTTTGGTCAAGAGATTTGAAAAAGACGAGACAGAGCGGAGAATCTTGTTTTCTACTCGTCTTGAAGGCATAAAATAAACTTTAAAAAGTCCGATTTTGGTTCCTCTGTGTGGTTTGCAGAGAAAGCCCATGTGTTCCTACATTTGCTAGAAAGTCTTTTCCATTTCCATTACATTCCCAGTTGGTGATATGAGCTTGTTAGACGGAATAATAATCAGTATTGACTCCACACGGGAGCCTGAAAAGCCAATGCTGTGCAGATTGTTGGGCTGAGACCAACTTTAGTTACTATTTACTGTTTTTACCACGTTGTCTATGCAGTAAGTTAACTTTAATAAATAGATAAAACAAGCTCACCCACCTCAAGACCAGCAGGGAAATCTGATGGGGTTTCAGTGTTGCACTGAGCGCAGCAGCAGGACAAATTATTTCCTTTCATTTAATTTCATTCACATATCCATAAAAGACTAAATCCAGCGCTATTAAACTGCTCGGAGCAAACCAGGCTGTTACATCAGTGCGTTTTGGGATGCGGTATATGATCAAGATAGCTCTGCCCGCATACTGGAATATGTGGCCAGAACAGCACATCAGCCTGGTATCCTTGATCCTATACTGGAGAAATTCATGTTGGTCACATACTGCATACTACTGCATACTATCAGTACACGAGCAGTATGTAATACGCTATTTCAAACACAGCCAGGAGCTCCCGATCTCAGTCCTGGTGACCCTTTTCTGTGCACATTTTTGTGGTTTCACTACTCTACACACCTGACCCGGCCAACGAGGTGTTTGTTACCTAACTAACGAGTTGAATCAGGTGTGTTAGATGAGACAAAGCACAAAAATGTGCATAGTGTTGGGTTGCCAAGACTGAATTTGGGAAGCCCTGGACTAGACTTGGTCTGGACACGATCATTGTGGGTCACAGCAATCCTGTTCACAAGTTTTTCCTTTTCATGCCTCAAAAAGAGGGAAAGACTGATGTGTTACTCTAGTATTACATCATGTTTGTTGTAGTTAACCAACCAGCTGCACGGTTTTGACAAGGCTGTCAATCAAGGACCCCATCACCTGTCCTAAAAACAGAAATGCACCCTGCTGCGGTTTAAACAGTACACACGCAAAGTAAAATATGGCATGCATTAGTGTCTATGACAACAGGTTTGAACATCTCTGGTCAAATGACATGTTTGGCTGAATTTCTAAGTGAAAGAGTTAACATATCCTCTACAGAAAACACAAAAAAATGGCATTTTTCTGCCGATTTTAGAGCACAATTTCTGTTTATTTGCCTAAAATATTGGGAAATATTTGCACAGTAATTATAATAAACAGTAATTGTGCAATAAAATGTTATTTTCACTTAGAAAATCAACAAAATATGAAATTTGACCAGGAGCGCCCAAACTTTAAAGGTGAAGCATGAAGGTGGGAGCATCATGATATGGAGCTGCTTCTCTGTAAATGGTATTAGACCAGGGCTCGGCAACATGAAGCTCCGGAGCCTCACGCAGCTCTTTTACTGTCCTGCTGTGACTCCACAGCAGAATTAGATTTGTAGGTAATAATAAAATAATCCTCCTTTACAGTAAAATAAAGCTCTGCTGATCGTTCAACACAGTTTAACAATAAATGGTCTTAAACACTGGAGTTCATGTAGAACTGCTAATTCACCGCTTAACCCTGAAGACCAGCGCAGACTGCTGGTCACCATAGCAACAACGACAATCTAACCTAGCTAGTAGCTAACGAAACAGCAAAGAGAAAGATTTAAGGCGAACTTCGATAATTTGGAGATGAACTGACTTATTTGCGCTTATTCCAACTGGTTTCCTGATACATTTAATCAGCAACGAGAAACTGCTGAACACTAAAAAGTTGCGAGGCTGAAGACAGCTTCTCATTCCACCTTAAATGGTGCAGCAGTTACAATCTGGTACCTCAGGCACCATTTAAGGTGGAACAGGAAAATTCTAACAAGAAGCTGGCGAATGAGAAGCGACTTCAGCCTCGTAAAAAGTCAAACTCTGAGAGACATTTTACAAGAAACTGTTCTACTTTTGAGGAAAAGTTTCCTGCCGGAGATGTGAGAAAAGCGGCTATAGCTGAGAAAACGCTTAAAGCTTAAAGTCTGTGTTTTCATTTATATTATGTTTTTAGCCTATACTAACGCATTAGCACATACATACAGATATATTTACAGCCAAGATGGTAAAAAGAACATAAAATATTGTGCCTCCCAAGGTGGATTGATTTTTGGTGAAAAGACAAAATAACCCTTCTTAACATTTGGGTTGCGACCTCTGTACTAAAGCATCACACAACATCAAAGGAAACATGAATGGAGTAATATTAGAGATATTAGATGAGAATTTAATCTCATCCGCCAAGAAACTGAATCTGGGGAGAAGATGGATGTTTAAACAAGACAACCTCAAATATACAGCCAGACTTTAATCTCATTGATAATTTATGGAGGATTTTGAATCTGCGAGTCCATCTAATCTTGGTGATCTGAGGACAGTTTGCTGAGTGAAATGGGCCAAACCTGAACCACAATGATGCAAAAAACTGTAACACACCTTAAAGCTTTATTTGCCACCAACAGCTCGGCAACCAAGTACTAATGTTATAGATTTACACTGGAGGGATATTAAATAACCTGTGTCTGTATACTTGTTTCTCCTCACTGTATACGCTTTACACAAGGCTTTGTTATCAGAGCTGGTGTCCACTAGCCCTTCATTACTGGTCATTTTCTAACCAAAGAGCCAAACATTTCTGGCTGACATACTATTTTGAATTAGGTGAATCAGTTTAATATACATGAAGTATTTAGGCATCATCTCAGAACGCAATACCTCTAATAGTACAAATATTTCTAAAGACACTTTATAGACTTTTTCAAAACTATTTTAAGACCTTCTATGGATCCAGGGCTTCCCTGCTGAAGTATCAATACTTCTGATCCTGTCGTTTCCTTTTAAGAATCGATCCTCACGCAAAAATATCCAAGTTTTCTTTAAGCACTAAACTGAATATTGTGTTATGAAATGAAGCTGAAAAGTGAGAAAGACGATGGTAGCAAATATACGTGTAAAGATGGGAACTGCTTTTGCGTCTTCTCACCTGTCAGTGTATTTAATATTAGATTCTTCAAAAAGATGGTTCTTCAAAGGTTCTTTAGTGGCATGAGTTCTGTAGAACCACTTGCATGATTAAGGAAAGAACTTCCTAAAGTTCTCAGAGAAAACGTTATTAAACAACACTTGATTGGAAAAAGTTACAGAGCCCTAACATGGTTCTCTGCAATGTGAAATGGTTCTTCAGATTGATGGGGAATGTGAACCTTTTTCGAAAATGGTACTACATAGCACCATTCTGGGTTCTGCTTGTAACAACAGCAGAACCTTTCTTGGTGCTATGTAGAACCACATGCAACACGTTCTCCATTAATCTGAAGAAACATTTCATGATGCAAAGAAACATTTAAGCATGAAACGGTTCCATATAGAACTTCTGTTTCTAAATAGAACCATTCCCTTTACTAAAGAACCCTTGAAAAGCCATCTTTTTTAGAGTGTAGGCCTCTGAATATATTTTTTCCTGTTTTTTCACTGCAGAAATCCCAATCCAGAATCCCAATTTTAATAAAAGGAAGGCTTTTAAATATGAAGAAAAATTAATGCCAAATTGAAAATTGTAATCACTACAGTGGAAAAATGTGAAATGCAAAGCACACATAACACTGTTTTTCCAAAGTGACATGCGGAATATGTGCCAAAATGAAAAACAAACCCTCTGTTAAATTGATTCATGTTGCTCAACCCATTTACTGAAAAACAATGCATGAGGATTTACATTTAAAAATGAAATGCAGAATTTCTGTGAGGACTGAATATAATCATCTTTAAAATGCTCTGTTGCTTTCCACCATGCAGTACATACTTAAAAATGATTGTTCTTCCAAGGTTCTATAGCAAAGAAATTACATATACAACACATTCTCCATCAATCTAAATAACCCTTTCATGATGCAAAGAGCACTTGAGTTTTCATGGTTCTATATAGAACCATTTTCTTTACTAAAGAACCCATGAAAAAACATCATTTTGAAGTGTTTAACGTAAACTTTCCATGTGTTTTCCTCTTTGAAATGCAATCGTAACAGTGAATAAATTGCACACATGACGTTACTTCTCCATAGGTGATGTGGAATATAAGCCAAAATGAAAAGCAAAACCCCCACCACACCGTTTTCATGGTGCTTGACCTCTTTTTTATCCTTCAAAAGTATTTGTCTCATTAAAATGCAATCAAAATGCAGTGCACACGAGACTGCATTTAAGCAGTAACATGCGTAAAATGTGCCAAAATGAAAAAGGATTCATTACACAGTTTTAAAGTTGTTTAAAGTACTGCAAGCTGGAAAGCAATATAGTGGTGCTTTTATTACATTTTAAAGTGGGTTGTGTTCAATTCTGATACAGATCCAGCATTTCATTTTTAAAATGCAAATGTGAAATCAATGTAAAAGAGGGTTTGCTTTTTATTTTGGCATATATTCTGCATGTCACTATGGAAAAGTAATGTCATGTGTGCTTTGCAGTGCAGTGCAGTGCAGTGCAGTGATTGCTTTTCAATCTGGCACAAATTCCTCTCCATATTTAAAGCAAATTGGCATAATAGCCTCGACAATACTTAAAATTAGTGCTACTGCCCGCTCCCTAGTGCTGTGCCAATGCGGAGCTGCCCATTACAGTTTCTGACCACAGCATCTCTTAGATACTGCTCACCATCTGTTGTCATCTTACTCCTAAGTATGAAAAAAGCCATTTCTATACCGGTATGGACTGTGCTCACATGGTATGATCCAGGCAGGTGAAAGACTGTCTGGCTTTGCAGTTGTTGTCCAAGGGTTCAGAACCTGTTGAGGCTGAACCGCAGCAGCCATACAGCTCTACATCTCAGTGCAGTCTCAGCCACTGGGCCATATTTGGTCCAGCCATTTTCACGAGGTGTATATAGTGGACCGTGAGAACTGGCACAAGCAAAGCAAACACATGTGGGGGGGGGACAGACCAACACACAAAAACACAACAACGCAGCTACATGGGAATATGGGACGAGGCTGAAGTTATCCGCCTGCTTCTTGTTCGAATTTTCCCGTTCCACCTTAAATGAATGTAATTGCTGCACCGTTTAAGGTGGAACGGGAAAATTCGAACAAGAAGCTGAGCCAAGCTTCGTGAATGTGGGGCATGGAGAGGCGCAGAAAGGCTGCATCGATGAAAAAAAAACATGGCAGACATGGAAATACGAGCCTGAACAGGGAGAGAGTGAAGCCGGGAGAAGTGTCACGCCACAGTCGCGCCCTGCTCTGTGTTTATGGAGCCGGGGAGGAGGAGAGCTGCCCGCGGGCCTGTATGAGGAATGCTGATGGACAGAGACTGTAATGACTGTAATGTTTGTACTCACACATCAGCGAGAGTCTGGCAGAGAAACTCCGTCTGTGTCCGAGCAGATAGAGGAGTGCTAACCGCGCCGATCCTGCATCATTCTCTCTCTCTCTCTCTGTGTCCCCCTCCTCTCTTTCTCTCCCTATATTTCTCTGTCTCCCTCTCTCTCTCTGTGTGTCTCCCTCCTCTCTCTCCCTATGTTTCTCTCTCTGTTTCAGTCTCTCTCTTTTTCGCTGTCTCTCTCTTTCCCTCTCTCTCTCCCTCTCTCTCCCTATATTTTTCTGTTTCTTTCTCTCTCTCTCTCTCTCTCTCCCTCTCTCTCTCTCTCTCTCTCTCGCTGTACAATAACAAAAGCGGTGCGCGTGAGCGTCTCCCTGGGCTTCAGCCAATCACGGCGCGGCTCTCAGAGGGAACGGCGGCGTTCGACCAATCGGAGCGCGCCTCTGCGTCTCGGCCCCGCCCACCCCCCCCCCACCAGTCTGAGGTCTGTCTGGGTCGCGTCTGGATTCACGGAATCGGCGCGACTGTTTTTTTAAGGTGGCGCCGCACAGATTACACACACCCCACCCCCCCTCCTTCTACTACCCCTCACTCTACTGCTCTACTGCTTACTGCTCCCCCCATCACCACTGACCCTCCCCACCACCACTGACCCTCCCCTTATTGCCCTCCTGCATCAATTTTACTTATTACTTATTATACTTTCATTTAACCACCTATGTATATATATATATATGCATATGAAAATCCATGTAATTTGATAAATAAATAAATAATATATATATATTTTTTTTTTAAACAATAAAATAATTAATAAATAAGTTTTACTTCTAAAAGTAACGTTTTATAGCACATTTAAAAAATCCTCCATTTATCAGAAATGCATGATTTTTTTTATCAGTTAATCATGATTTCCAGCATAATAAAGTTTAGTAGCTTTGAAGCTGGATAATCACGTCGAGATGGATAATCATGACAATCAAGTGTTATTATAGTCACAAAGGAAAAAGTTCTCTCCACAGCCGTTTGTCTTGTATTAAAGGGCCCATATCCCCATATCCTACCTTTTCCTACCATTCGTTCCCCCCTGAGGTCCACTTATGACATTTGTCTGGTTTTATGTACCAAAAACAGTCATAATAGTTTTACATGAGCCTCTCTTTATCCTGTAGAATTAAACAGGCTGTTTTGTGCTACCACACCTTTAAAGGGGAATTCCACCAATTTTTCAAAATCTCTATGTAATTGTATGGTTAAGATGCAGAGTCACTTAGAGCAGTTTGGTGTGAAATGCTCTGTTCTAGAGAAATTTCTCAAGTCAGAATTGTTCACAGTGGTGGTGATAGGAACCAGACATCCACCTCTAAAAGCTCCCTCACAGAAAGTTACTACATTAAATAGTTATAAATACACTGCCTGCTGACTGAGGCATTGTTTTCTGATAGTTTTGAGTGTTGTGAGACCAAATAGTCCCCAAAGAAAACTTTTTTTTCCATATTTTCCACTATTTTAACATCATCAATATTCCATGTAAAACTGAGAAGACACATGTAGGTTCACTGGTGGTTTTGGATAGTAAATAAAATGGCTATATTTGTAGACATGGTAACTGTAAAGAAAGTTTCTATAGAATTTTACATCACTCTGAATAACTTGATGCAAACACTGAACTAAAAAATCTCTTAAGACTGATATGTAAATTAGCTAGGTTCTGATTGGCTGTGTCTCATTCAAAAAGCAATCTGGGCTGAAACACTCCTTTAAACTTCAGTGTGAGTGGGCGGGGCTAAACTGCTCAATAAGCGGATGTAGAGGAGTTGTTTTTTACATTTACATTTACATTTACATTTACAGCATTTAGCAGATGCTCTTATCCAGAGCGACTTACAAAAAGTGCTTTGTCTATCCAGAGAAAGTATCTTTGCTAGTTACCAATAGGTCAGAGAGAAAGCCAGTCCTGAGCTCAGATACTGCTAGAATCAGAAAGTCATTATAGACACCTAGAGAAAAAGGAACAGAGTTAAACACAGAGCAGTGCAATACAATACAATACAATACATAAGTGCAGTACAATACATTACAATCAACACTTAATTCAGTGCTCGTTTTTTCTTGACATCGAAAAAACAACGAATTTAAAACAGACCAATTCTGCTAATTAATTTCCATATATGGACTGTGGACTGGGAACAGTATGTTTACAAAATGCTATCCTTCAATATCAAACATATTTATTCTAAGAAAAGGAGGAAATGTACGTTTTCCATGATATGGGCCGTCTAAGCCTAATAACATGGAGTGATTTGCATTTTCTTTGGAGCTGGAAAATCTCATTTAAAGTTCTTGTTATTCTTGTTATTCTCAAAGTTGCTCTAAACGCAAAGCCAAAAATAAGCCTCCAGCATGTCCTACTGTGAGCTAACAGGGGCAATCTTTGGTTATTTTTCCCAGCAGTCTGTTCTAAATCTGTCATTATTAGAATCACATTTAGAGAGACTTCTTGTGAATTTTACATCCTCCCTCCCTTTGACCTTTGGCCTGGTCAAAACTCCGTCCCTAAACCCGAGGTCATCCAGAACTGGCCTTCTGCCTCTCCGATTACAAAACATTCATTATTTACACGAGCAGACGCACATAGCTGGCATTTTACTGCTGATTCAATTATACAGTGATCCACCAGGTACAGCTGCACTTTATTCCGCCTTTAAATCCAATTTAGTGTTTGAAATATTTTAATAGTTTGATCCTGAAACAGAAGCTGAACTGCATTAGGTACATTTAAAACTTCCTGTCATTAAATAAGAGTAAAGAAAGTAGTGGAGTGTTAGAAATCACTGCTGTTGGAACAAAACCTTGTATCTCCATTTTTGTCATTTTTCAGTTTTTGACATAGTTTTAACAAGCATATTTCCCTTTACTTTGTGTGTAAATTTCATGATGATTAGACCAAAAGAAATGGCCCAAAATTGCTTGGAAAAAAGTCTGGTTCCACTGACTTACATTAAAAGTAGAGTGGGTTTTTCTTTCTCCTGTAAAGTTACCATTTTGGAGATATGAGGTTTTGTTCCGACAACAGCGATATGTTTATAATTAATAAGTTCACTGAGTGCCACTCTGAAAAGTGAGGAAAACACTTTTTAAGCATGGAAACTGCTGTTCAAAAGTTTGAAATCAAAGTTTTTAATACTATCAAAACAGTCCGGTTGTGGATGAATGTATAAAATGGTTCTAATCTGCACAGTAAATAATCAACAGGCCACTAAACTGTAAATGAAAATGCTGAAATGTTTTAATGGTTCCAGAATAAAAAATGAATTTCTAATAAAATTAACATCCAGAATTCATATTTCAAGATTACTTAAAAAAAATGAATGTTAATAGTTGATTACTGTATATTATTCAATGAATACCTGAAAGATTGAAGTCTAAAAATACCTTTCATACTGCAAGTTTTATACTGTACATTTGACAGAAAAGACAAATATGGAACCTGGAGGAGTTATAAATGTAAATGCAGTGTAAATATTTTCACTGTTCTAATGAACCGTTTTCAGGAGAAGGAGAAGAATATCCATAACTTTTAATGAAAATTAAAGGGTCCATATCACGGAAAAACAAATTGGGAAAAAAAGAGTGTGATGTACTATGTAAACATTGTTAAAAGTTTCAAAACATACCGTTCATACTGTTCACCAGTCCATATATGCATATGTGGAAACAAAGCTGCAAAAACAGCCAGTTTTTAATTGTTTTTGTGATGTCATGAAAACCGACTTACTTACATGTATCTACCATTTGAGCCTACAGGAGTTTAGCTCCGCCGTGTTTAAAAACTCCAGCAGCACTGCTGTGTCTGATCCACTCATACCAGCACAACACACACTAACACACCACCACCACATCAGTGTTACTGCAGTGCTGAGAATGATCCACCACCCAAATAGTGCCTGCTCTGTGAGGGTCCATGGGGGTCCTGACCACTGAAGAACAGGGTAAAAGGGGGCTAACAAAGTATGCAGAGAAACAGATGGACTACAGTCTGTAACTGTAGAACTACAAAGTGCACCTATATAGTAAGTGGAGCTGATAAAACGGACAATGAGCGTAGAAACAAGGAGGTGGTCATAATGTTATGCCTGATCGGTGTATGAGTCTTAACAAGAACTGCCTGTTTAATTTTAAGGGATAAGAGAAAATGGTCATGTAAAAATAAAATTATGATGGATTTTTGTTACATCAAAACCACAAAAATTACATCAACAGAAAGGAAAAAAAACAATACAACAACAATCTTTCATATAGGCCCTTTAATGTTATAAGATTTCCTAAGGGAGAAGTAATTTTGGACCATTTCCATCAGCATTCATGGAATATTCACACAACATAAAGGCCAGCTAGAGTTTTTAAATGAATAGGTTTACAAGGTTCCTTGGAACATTTACAAGGACAGCATAGAACATATGTGCATTTCATAAGGCTTAAAATGACTGAGGAACGATTGGAGGGATAAACATTCCAGTTCCAGATGATACTCAGCCCAGGACCAGCAGGTGAGACAATACGTTTGTATTTCACATTTACATTCTGGACAGTATTAGGGTCCTAAACAATCCATCAAATAGATCAAATGTGAAAGTGGCCAAAGCTACAAGGACAGTGCATGGAAAACAAACATAAATACAGTGATATTAATATTGTACAATTTGTTAATTTACATACATTTCAACATATATGAATCAGAAACATTAATGCCAGATGCAAATTAGAGGCAGGCAATCATATATCCATTAGGCTTAACTAGTAAAGAGGACATGGTATTGACAACACTAACAGTTAAAGGGGAATTCCAATGATTTTTCAAAATTTCTCCATTAGTAAATGGTTAAGATGTAAACAGAGTCATTCAGAGTGGTTTGGTGTGAAACGCTCTGTTCTAGAGAAACTTAAAGTTGGAATTGTTCACAGTGGTGGTGATAGGAACCAGACGTCCACTTCTGAAAGCTCCCTCAGAGAGTCATTCCATTAAATGCTGACCGTCTGATGTCCGAGACATTGTTTTACTAAAGTTTAGGGAAGGTTTTTATTTTATACATTATCACTATTTCACCATGATCAACATCACATATACTCAGAAGACTCGTGTAGGTTCACAGGTGGCTTTGTATGGTAAATAAAATGGCTATATTTGTGTTGTAGTCATGGCGACCCCTGGTTCCTATCACCACCACTGTAAAGACATCTGAACCATTTCACACCAAACCACTCTGAATCACTCTGTTTACATCTCAAACACTGACTTGTGCAGAAATTTTGAAAAACTAGTTGAGTTCCCCTATAATTCAACACTCATGATGTTTTTGTGCACTTATACAAAAAAAAATTATATAATAGTTTCTTTGGTTGCTTTTAAAGGAATCATCCCAAAAAATCAAATGTACAGACCGTATGCAAAAGTTTGTGCACCCTTGGATAAATGGCACGTTTTGTTGATTTTCTAACTGAAAAAATGTGGCCTGTGCAAAAATTCTGAACATTTCATGTTGTATTTTTTTATAATATGTAAAAATCAGCACATAAATAGAAACCGTGCACTAAAATTTGCAGAAAGATGTCATTTCTAAGTGTGTTCTCTGTAGAGGAAGTGTTATTCCACCTTACCGCAAACATAGTCGATTGGCCAAGGCATGCTCCGTGTCTGAAGTTTGCTTCTTTAGTTTTATACTGGACTTGCACTTTACACAGACTTGGTACTCGATTACATTAGTCTTGGGGTTCCAGCTCAAGTAAACAAGCAAATTTCAGACACCAAACATTTCTCAGGCAACCCCATATGTTTGGGGAAAAGGGAATGTGTAAATTTTGAATTTTCAGTCTATTCCTTTAAATGAACACATTAGCTGTTTCGCAGTGCCACACGTCTGCCGATGCTGTGCATAGCTCAGAACGTTTCTGCTGAAGCCTCTGCTCGTGTACAGCAGATGCACATCGAGCTGGGCACAGTGTGATGGTTCAGTGTCTTTAAGCGTAGATCGTCATGGTTTGCTTGGTGACCGAGTGGAAAACGCTCCAGATGTTTCCAGCATTGTTTTTCTGCGTGCCGTCTCCTTGGCCACATTATGGTTCAACCTCCGCAAGCGTTCCTGCAGTGAAAAGGATGAGAAGAGGAAATAAGAATGGAAGAGTTACCTCATATACGTTCACTAGCGTTCAAAAGTACGGAATCACCGTTAATGGGCTGGAGGTTAGGGAACCAGCCCTGTGACCGGAAGGTCGCCGGTTCGATCCTCTGAGCCGACAGTACGTGACTGAAGTGCTCTTGAGCAAGACACCTAACCCCCAACTGCTCCCCGGGTGCTGCGGATAGAGCTGCCCACCACTCTGGACCCCCTAGTGTGTGTGTGTATATTCACTAGTGTGTATGCTGTCCCCGTTGTGGGACTAATAAGGGTCTCTTAATCCTAATAAAAGGATTCTAATCTGCTCGTCCTGTAAAACTTCACAGCACTCAGCTAACTAGCTGCAAAAAGTGGAGAAACGTTAGAATGATGAACAGAGCTGTAGAAGATGCGAAGGACTGTATCAGTGTCTGAAGTGCTGAGTCATGGTTTAACAAGGGTCTCTTATTACAAGCCAAATGAACTCAGACCCCTCTAAACGGCCCCAGAAACTAACCCAACTCAGAACACCTCTTGAGGAGGTCTCAGTTCTGTTCGTTTGCAGTTTGTTTTGTGGCTCAACTGATTTGTGCATTGTGAAAACAAAACGGCCCCAGTCCGCTTTTGCTCTGCTTTACGGTGAAGACTTCAAGGTTTACCAAACGCACAGCCACAGTCTTCCAGCACTTCAGCAGGTCAAAACAGACCACCAACGATCATTTGTGAGGTTCTACTCAGGATAAAGCCTGTTCGTTTGCTTCATGGTGATTTTACTGTGGCTCACGCTGGGCACACAATGCTGAGGCAACTCACCGTGGCAGACACGTAGGGTCATTTTTAAAATTTTGTGCGATGCGCTTTGGCCAATCGTTTAAGTGTGGCCAAAAGGAGAGCAGCAGGCGTGTCCGGTGGTCACCTGAAAGGTTAGATTTATCAGAGAACGCTGCCCACTTTGCGAGCGCTGCGCACACCGTGAGTGGCGTGAAAGGAGTCTGAGTTCTAATGGAGTTGTGGTCTGAACAAGCAGTGGTCTGAGATCTCAAAGGACCAGAAAGAAAACTGTGTCCTCTTTCAGTTCACTTACATTGTGAACACAAAACGAACTGAGGTCATTTGCAGTTGGTTCGCTTTCAGGTTCACTTTAAGGGCGTTTTTACACTTGGGCCTCAGTGTCTGAAGCCCACTGAGTCATGGTTTTCTGCCCATATGTGAACAAGCCAAACAAACTCGGACCCCTCTAAACAGCCCCGGTCCACTGAATGAATGAAAATTCACCGCTGCTTTAGCTTAGTGAGGAGCACAGCCAAAAACAGAGCCCACCGCGGCAGACACGCAGGGTCATTTTTCCAATTTTGTGCAATGCGCTTTGGCCAATCGTTTCAGCGTGGCCAAAAGGAGAGCAGCAGGCATGTCTGGTGGTTCCTCTGGCCACCTGAAAGGTTAGATAGATAGACGTTGCCCACTTCACAGGCACTGCGCACACCGTGAGTGCTGTGAAAGGGGTCTGAGTTCCAACAGAGTTGTGGTCTCAACAAGAAGTGATCTGAGATCTCAAAGCAAAGAAAAAGTGTCCTCTTTTACAGTCCACTTACATTGTGAACACACAAAGAAACAGGTCATTTGCAGTTGGTTCCCTTTCAGGTTCACAATAACAGAACTCAGTTTGGTTCATTTGAAAAGAACTATATGTGAAAACACCCTAAAATGACCGAGAAAGCTGAATAATACTAAGAATGAAGCAACTGTGTATTTACACTGACGTGACTGTACAAACTGTGACACTGCATCTTGACAGACAGACAAAAATGACTGCAATTCTATACTAATACTACTGTACCAGTCGTCTTCTTTATTATTATTTTATTATTTCTGTTTTATTTGCATCTCACATACAGTCACAACATTTCTGAACTGAACTGACTTCATGCTTTGCTGGTTATTAACACTCCTCACCCAACTCATGAATATTTATATGATTAGCTGAGAGGTTTAACTGTATAAATATAAAGACGAGGACATAAACGAGCCGCAATCTTGTTTAGAATCACTTACTTGAGCGTTCTGAAGGATGTTGTTGACCAGAACCACTCTGCGCCGTGCATTCAGCAGTTTCTTGACATAGGGGTCCAAGTCAAGGGCGACTTTCTGATGCTCATTAATTCTGCATAACTCTGAAAGGAAAATGTGCAGACGAAATAATCAATAATCATACCAGTCATCATTATACACCGTTACACAGTTAGTATTACCAGTATTGAGCACTGTTACCAGTTGCCAGGTTGTCAATGTGTTCCCGAAGCTCCACTTGACTCTCTCTGTGTGGAGATAAAGACAATCTCAATCAGCTGTTTTTCTCCTGGCCTTTTTCTCAATAATCACACTCAAAGTTAAAAATCAATACTCAATAGAATAAAGTGCAAAATACTAATGAACAAATAAACAAAGATAAAGAGAGTGAGAGGAGGAGCATAAACTCATTCCCAAGTAAAAGAATTGTTACTTCAGTGAAATAATGACTTGAGCATAATGTAAAAGTAGCTACCAGCAACAACTTTAAAAGAGTCTGAGGTGCAAAAACTCCTCCAGAAGAGCTCTTAGTAAATGCAGCATCTATCAGCACAGCAAGTGAAGCCTGTTTGACTGGTCGAAATCAAATGCTAAATCTGCAAAATGAGAGAAGTGAGCACCTGTAAAGCTGGATTTAGCATCTCAGGAGCTAAACCAACACAACAGAATGAAATTAAAGAGCCCATATCGTAGAAAACAAACGTCCTTACTTTTTAATATAAAATAGTTAAATGTAGTATGAAAACACTGGTTCATATTGAAACTTTTAGCATTCATATATATATATATATATATATATATATATATATATATATATATATATATATATATATATATATATATATATATATATACACACACACACACACACACACAAAACCCTATTTCCAAAAATGTTGGGACGCTGTGCAAAATGTAAATAAAAACAAAATGCAATGATGTGCAGAACATTTAAACCCTATATTCCATTGAAAATTGAAAATAGCACAAAAACAACATATCAAATGTTGAAACTCAGAAATTTTATTGTTTTTTAAAAAATATCTGCCCATTTTGAATTTGATTCCAACAACTTGTTCCAAAAAAGTTAGGACGGGGGCAACAAAAGGCTGGTAAAGTTGTGTAATTCTAAAAAAAAAAACAAAAAAAAACACACACCTAGTGGTTGATTGGCAACAAGTCAGTAACATGATTGGGTATAAAAAGCATCTGAGAGGCTGAGACTTTCAGAAGTAAAGATGAGGAGGGGTTCACCACTCTGTGAAAGACTGCACGATCAAATTGCAACAATTTAAGAATAAAGTTTCTCAACGTAAAATAGCAAAGAACTTTCTTGCTGTGATCTTTGGGCCCTCAGGCAGCACTGCATTAAAAACAGACATGTAGTGTAAATCACTGCATGGGCTCAGAAACACTTCATAGTTCATCACTGCATCCACAAATGCAGGTTAAAACTCTAAAACGCAAAGAAGAAACCATCTATAAACAGGATCCAGAAATGCTGCCACCTTCTCTGGGCTCGAGCTCATTTAAAATGGACTGAGGTGAAGTGGAAAAGTGTCCTGTGGTCTGACAAATCAACATCTGAAATTCTTTTTGGAAATCATGGACACTGTGTCCTCCGGACTAAAGACCACTCAGCTTGTTCTCAGTGCACAGTTCAAAAGCCAGTATTCATGATAGTATAGGGGGGCATTAGTGCGCATGGCATAGGTGACTGGCACATCTGTGAAGGCACAATTAATACTGAACGATATGTACATGTTTCATATGTATATTACATGTTTGATATATACATGTATGTAAAACCACACTAAAGTCCTAAGGGGGAAAAAAATAAAATACAAGAAAAATTTAGGATAAGGGCCCTTAAAGCCCATATTCTTAAAAAAGACAGTTCTTTAATGGTTCTTAAAAAGTAAAGGGAATGGATCTATTAAGAACCATGAGTTCTATACAGAACCATTTCATGGTTAAATGATTCTTCAGATTGATGGAGAACGTGTGGAATATGGTTCTATGAAAACCTAGTTAAAAATGGTTCTATATAAACCCATTTAAAAAAATGGTTCTATATAGCACCAAAAAGGGTTCTGCTTTTATTACGATGTCAAGCTATGATGTAACAACAGAAGAACACTTTTTGGTGCTACATAGAACCACAACACATTCGCCATCAATCTGAAGAACCATCCAAGCATGAAACGGTTCTATATAGAGCTCGTGGTTCTAAACAGAACCGCTCCCTTTACTAAAGAACCCTCAAGGGACAGGAATTTAGGAAGTAGGGTTAGATGTAAAAGACCAGAGTGGAACTGAAAACAAAGCTGATCTCTGAAAGTCGGAGTGAGTTGGAAGCAACTCTACGGAGCTCCGCTGGTGACATCCTGTATAAATAAAAATAACGCGTGGCCACGACTTAGTGAGGCACGGGAATGAGATGATTAAGTCGTGGCCACGACTTAATAAAGCGTGGGGGTCTGGATTTAATACACGCAGACTCCGCGGTTACCGGTCTGCAGTGAAGGACGCGGGTCGTGTTGTTGTTTATCTTACCGCTGTCATGGCAACAAGCAAACCCAGATCTGCTGCGTTTGTTTACCTGACCGAATGCACGTGTAGATCCAGCTGCTGCACCGCTGGCTTTAACAGGCCCAGCAAACCTTCTGCTATCGCATCTTTGCCAGAAGGGGTTTCCACCACCGCCAGCGCAGCCATCTTACCCAGCGCCAGAGAACACGGACAGCTAATTCTCGCGATACTTTAATGCAATCGAATTGCCCTTCTCGCGATATGTTGACAGCTGCGGAGAACCCCGCCCACTCCTACTCGTGATTCTGTTTGATCCAGTTTACGGAACCGATTCTTTTGAACTGTTCTTTTCAATGAATCGTGTGTCCGATTCAACGGTTCATTCAATGACAAATCAAATTTATTATTGCCTTATACTTTTATCTAGTATTATTACCAATAACAACAACAATAATAAATAAAATAACCATATATCATTTGAGATCCAGTGAGTGAGTCTCATGTTAACATGTACTACCCTAAGAAACTTGATTCTCACACACTCAGTATGAAAATTACAAAGTCAACTTTACTGGATGGTTTGCGCTATAATAATAAATTGCTAAATATTATTAATCATACTTTATTTTATGTCTTTATGTACAACTCATGTCAACACTGCAAAGCTGCTATTTAAAAAAAAACGTATTAATTTAAACCCGTGAATCGGTTCGATCGATTTATCGAAAAGAACCGATTCGTTCATGATTCCTACATCGATACGCACCACTGAAGCCACAGATGATTGCACGATTTTATAGAGGCGCTAGAGAGTCTTCAAGAAACGGGAGTGAAGCGAGATAAATGGGTATATTCATTCAGTAAATACGTTTCTAGTCCATAACGCAGTAACTTGATCATATGTTTGAAAAAAAGAACTCTTAATCAAAATAATTTGTGTTTCAAAACAATTACTAATGTTTTCCGTTTTTTTGCGGGGTAAATTGCTAGCATTGTTGCTACAGTCAATGTTTTCATTCATTTTGAATTTATAATTTTTATTAATTAATGTTTTATATGTTTTTATTTATTTATTCATTTGTTTGTTGTGTATTCTCAATGACTTTTCTGTGCACAGTTGTATACAAAGTGTATCCAACACATCAACACATACCTGAGTATGGAAGCTCATTCCCACCACTTGAAGTAAAATAATTCAAATTATTATTTTTTTCTTAGTAAGGGAATTGGCATGCCATGATTTAGAGATACTATCTCATTATTCTGAGATCCTCTCTCATTATTTTCAGAAACTTACTCATTAGTTTGAGAAACTTTCATGTTTTTTAAGAAGCTTTATGCTTTATGAAAAAAATATTAATATGAATATATATTTAAATATAAATAAAATATAAATAAAAAATAAGAAAGCATCTCAATATCACAAGGAAGTTTTCCAAATAGTGAAAAAGTATGTCAAAATAATGAGAAACTTACGGAGCCCCGCTGGTGACATCCTGTATAAATAAAAAATAATGCGTGGCCATGCCTTATTAACGCATGGGAACGAGATCCTAATGCGTGGCCACGACTTAGCAAGTTGTGGGAATGAGATGATCAAGTCGTGGCCATGACTTAGTAAGGCGTGGGAACGAGATCACGGCTTACTAAGTCGTGTCCACACATTATTTTTATTTATGCAGGATGTTACCAGCGGGGTAAAAAAAGGCGCTCGATAGTTTTTGGTTGTTTTTTCCACAGCAGTGGTGGAGAACGGACCTCCATAACCGAGTGGGCCATCTCGGTATCTTAAAAAAAAAGCTCTGTGGCCTTCTTGGAGGGCGGAGTTAAGAGCCTCCATTTTCCCGCAGCAGCTCCATTTTGTGTTGAATGAGGAGACGGGAGGCCGATTCTAGGATTAAAGGTGTAGAAAACGACAGAAAACAGAAAGTTTTTATTTATTAAGGTGATTTATCGTAAGAGGAGGGGCGACAGCGACAAGACTCCGTAAGACGTTGCTGGAGCAGGTAGCTTTAATAGAACAGCTGAGTCAGTGAAAATTGAAGCGTGTGAGCCGAAGCTGCCTCAAACCAGCGCAGATCCACAGCTACTCCGTCAAAAGTGAGTAGAACCGAACTCGGAGAGGTTGAGATGGCGATATTCACAGTGTTGGTGGTGCTAAATCAGTGTTTATTATGGGTTAAGTAGTCCATCCCGGACCGGGCTTGAAGTTGGTTTCTCACTCGCCAGCTTCGTGTTTGAATTTTCCCGTTCCACCTTAAATGGTGCAGCTGTTACATTCAGGCGTCTCGGGCGCCGGGATAGAACTGCTGCTTCATTTAAGGTGGAACGGGAGAATTCGAGTAGGAAGCCACTTTCAGCCTCGTTTGAAGGTTTGTAAAGTTATTCAAAGTTAGAATATATTAGTAGGAAAGTGTCTGTTAAGGTGGTCAATATGTTTATCTGGCGGTACTGCTAAAATGTTGATCTGTATTTATTAGCGTGGGGCCCTTTTAAAGGAGAATACCACCAATTTTTCAAAATTTCTGAATTATTCAGTCCTTGAGATGTAAACTCAGAGTCATTCAGAGTGGTTTGGTGTGAAATGGTTCAGATGTCTTTACAGTGGTGGTGATAGGAAGCAGGGGTCACCATGTCTACAACACAAATATAGACGTTTTATTAACTATCCAAAACCACCACTGAGCCTACACGAGTCTTCTGAGATTATATATTCAATGATGATGGTAAAATAGCCATAAATCTGGGAAAAAAGTTTTCTTTATGGACTATTTTGCCTTAGAACACCTTGTATTTATCCCTCCACCATAAATGGGTTAAAATAAATGGTCTAAAAACATTTTAACCCAACACTTTGTAACCAAACATGTCATACGTTGAATTCATGACCATTTCATGCAATGTCTTTCTGTAAGGGAGCTTTTACAGGTGGACGTCTGGTTCCTATCACCACCACTGTGAACAATTCTGACTCGGTAAGTTTCTCTGGAGCAGAGCGTTTCACACCAAACCACTCTGACTTTGTGTACATCTCATTTAATTATGTAGAAAATTTTGAAAAATCAATGGAGTTTCCCTTTGGGAAAAAAAAAAGCAACCAGTTTAAGTCAAAGACTTAAATGCAAAAACTATTGGAAAGTTTGAGCTTCTTATTTTTCTAAATATCCTCAAAAGCTGGGTCTGAGTAAGAAAGTAACTCCAAATAAAAACAGAAAACTGCTCTTTGCTCTTCTGATCTGATATTACAGCCTGTTTACTGGGGCTGATTGAAATAGGGGGGAAATCTAATCGCAGTTTTTCTGTTGTTGTTTCAATATTAATTGCAGTTAAAGTGTGAATTATGAGCCACACTTTTATTGGTGGTCTACATAACATGAAACGTCACATAACTACCTTGGTATCTTGTTCTTGCGTGTAAAGAATCCAGGTAAATAAGGCAGTTGCTAGGATTACTGTTTATTTAAGCAATAAAAATGAACATTAAAGGGAAATTCCACCCATTTTCGAAGTTTCTGCATGATTAAATGGTTAAGATGCAGACAGAGTCTTTCAGAGTGAAATGCTCTGTTCTAGAGAAACTCACCGAGTCAGAATTGTTAACAGTGGTGGTGATAGGAACCAGACAGCCTGTCCCTCTCAGAAGGTCATTATGAATACACTGCCTGATGTCTGGATATAGTTTTATGATAGTTTTGAGAAGATTATTCGGCCTTTGACATGTTTTTTTAATCTATTCATTTTGGAGGCATTTGTGCAGGGCGTTCTAGGGCAAAATGATCCCCAAGGGAACCTTGTGTTTTCAGATTTATCACTTTTTTACTGTCATTAAAATAACATTACATAATAAAAGGAGAGCTTAAAGCTACATTATGTGAGTTTTGGGGATTTGGAGCCCTCTCTGGTGGAAGTGCGTAACTGCACGCAGCGTGATCTTTAAGAGAAGAGTTAAAACGTGGTGAAGGATGTGTCGAGGATGTGAGTGAATTATGTATTACTGTCATCATATCTTCACCAGTATAATGTTGATTGTGCATTTGAGCCCTAGACAACAAGTCAGGCTTTCGTTTTGAGTGTGTGTGACGTTTAAGCAATAGAAGACGAGAGGGAGTGTGTTATCGTAAAACAGCATCACGGCTGTGATTTGGTCGCCGTAGATCTTCACAGCCGTGATGTTATTGGCGATAACGCACTCCCTCTCGTCTTCTATTGCTTTTATACAACAGTTAAATAAATAAAGTAATAAATTAATAAACTGGGCCGTGAACGCGGCGTTTAATATGTTTTAATGTTCGCAGTTCCTTCACCAAATTATAGTTCCTTAACAAGCAGCTTGTTGCTGCGTCAGAGTAACAAGCTCCGCCCACTCGCTGCACAGCCGGCAGTTCGTTCTCCAGCTCCTTACACTAAATTCCCAAACTGTTGTCACCACTGAGCAGCTTTTCAGTCGGCAGCTGTGACAGAAGAACAGCTAAACAACCTGGAATCAGCCAGAAATGAACCCAACACCATTCGCCAAACTAAATGGGCTGTAAGATGCTTTACAGACTGGCTGGAACAAAACAACATTAATACTGATCTGGAAAAAACTGACAAAACTGAGCTGAACTTGATATTGTGGCAGTTTTATGGCTCAGTCTGATTTGGTCAGACTCTGAAGATCAGACTACACGTTTGGCGAATGGTATTGGGTTCATTTCTGGCTGATTCCAGGTTGTTTAGCTGTTCTTCTGTCACAGCTGCCGACTGAAAAGCTGCTCAGTGGTGACGACAGTTTGGGAATTTAGTGTCGTCTCATCTTCAGAGTCTGACCAAATCGGCTGTCGGTCAAACGTGATCTTTAAAGTGTCCGTTTTCTGTTTGTGGCACAGTAAGAAGTAAAAACGTTCAAATGGCTTGAGCGACTCCTACAGCGGTCAAAGTCGTTGCTTAGCAACGGCGCCTCAGCGGAGTGATTTTATAGTGGTTGTGGGGGGAAAAAAAAAACACTTCTCAACCAATCAGCTTACGCAGCCGGAACTAACTGCTGTATAATAGCACGTAAAGATGTACGACGTGGTGTGGAGAAACTCAACCCGACTGACTTTTAAACGACTAACTCTGGCTTTACAGAGCGACTTCCAGCAGTAATGCTTAGTAATTGTTGTTGTACGCAGTTCAGCTTTACAGTCAACTCTACACAAAACATGCAACCACTTTACGAACGTAGGAGCAGGCGTAGCGTTTTATTTTCCAATTGTGTAAGTTGGCACTTTACCAGACGCGCTTTGTCGTGTCTTCAACCCGTCGGTAGTCGTTTTATTTTCCTAACGTTAAACTCTCTCCCCACAGGAACAAGCCAGGCAGCAAGTCTGAAGAAAAATGACTTCCCCCTCTTCTCAAAAAGTCGTGCTGAAAAGCACCACCAAGGTGTCCCTGAATGAGCGGTGAGGGTCCAACGCTTCCTGACAGCATTATCTCAAGCCCGGGGGGAGAAAACAGAGATACTTAAGGCATGAAGCAGAGAGCCGTGTTGTTCTGTGGAGGTCAATGAGGGGAGATACCAGACCTGGCACGGACGCTAGACTGCCCACGGAGTGTGTGCTGCTCACTCAACACGGCCGCGGTCATTTAGGACGGGTGACAGATTGAAGGAAAAACCTGAGTAAGTTAATAAAGGAGCATACCAAGTGCAGATGCTTCCCTTGATGCACTTAAGCAGGTAACATCTGTACCGTGTTGACCTCGATTTTGGTTGGCGATGACGAGAGGACGAGATCTAAGTGACTTTGAACGAGGCTTTATTATTGGGGCGCGCATGGCAGGAGCTTCGGTCACGAAGACTGCCGAGCTGGCTCGCGTTTCGATAGGAACGGTCACTAAAGTGACCACCGCGTTCAAAGCTATGGGGAAGACGTCGGTAAACAGGGCTGGGAATTGTGGTCGGAAGCGCGCGTTTAATGAGCGCGATACCCGCGCGTTAGTACGATACGTAAAGAAAAACAGAAGAGCGACGGTTCCTCAGATAACTGAGAACGTCAACGCGGGACGCAACCAGACCGTGTCGGCGAGAACTGTCCGTCGACAGCTGCATAGAGAGGGATATAGTAGGGTCGCGGTCCAGAAACCCCTCGTTACAAATACGAATGAGGTGGAGGTGGAAGAAAAACGCGATGCAGTGTAGTTGCACAAGTTTTTGGGTTTAAAAGTAGGTTTGATACATGGAGGCCCAAGCGTCTAAGTGCATTAAACCCATCGTCAGACTCTCCAAAGTCCATTTCTCTCTTAATCATGAGTTGGCACTCTTTCATATCAGGGAGGCTAAGGCCTTCGTCGGTGGAGTTGTTAGGAACAGTTAGACGTAGTGCAGTGGTCACTAGGCCTCCTCCTGGAGATCTTTCCTGCAGAGTTTAGCTCATACTGCCCCCTGATCCAGCCAATCAAGGACCTCTGTAGATGTCAGTTGGAGAAGGTGCGGCTAGACTCTGTAGGCAAGTCAGTGCCTTTTTGGTTCTAGAGTGCACATTTTAGGGTCCACAAACCATCAGCACTGCACCGAGATGTGGTCATCCACATTATTCCCCACAAGTGGGAGAGTGCATGTGCAGCAAACACCAAGACAACAGTTCGAGCCTGAATGCTTGACCTCTGCAGTGAGTGGTGGCTTTGGGTTGCTGTGGGCGGCATTTTGCTGGCAGTTGTCTCTTTTAGAGTGCAAATCAGAATAAAACTATTTTGAATGACCACCTCTATCCAACCACAGGGCATGAGGGGTCACTGAATGGTTTGCAGAGCATAAAAGTGATGTAAATCGTATGCTGTGGCTGTAGCTCTGAACCAAGTTGAACATCAACAGGTTTTGGAGTGACACTGGACCGCGTTCTCATTGAAGTACCAACTGTAGGAATGTCCTTCGAAAGAATTATGTTCTGACGATCCAGTGCAGTTATTTGAAAGTGTCCAAGGTTGTCCATTATCTTACTAAGACACCTTATATTAGGTTTTTGCTTTTACTTGTCACCCGTCTGTTGGGTTATTTTTCTAGCAGATGATATTTAACAACATCAGAGCATCGGTCTCGCATTTAGCTCGTCGTGCTGGCCGTCTTGCGTCAGCAGCACACACCCTACGGTGAGAGAGTTTTGGTAATAATGGTAAGGTAAGCTGCCTGCATGTGAATGCACTGCAGAAAAAACACTCCCCAGAACACGGGAGTGAGAAAAATGAGATTGATACAGTGGATGGTTCTCCATCCTTCATGTTTTTTGCCCTCTCTCACACAAACTCTCTCTTAGATGATCCTATACTTTCTCTCTTTTCTCTTAAAATCTGTCTTCTCTTTCTCTATCAAATAAGGTGCCCAGTCCATGCCTGGACGTGACTGTTTCCCCCTCACCCCTTTTCCCTTCTTTCTCTCATGAAGAAGTGTATACGGTCACGGTCTGGGCTGTAAGTGGCCGGGTTGCCTAGACACCCCTCTAGCCCTGGACCACCGACACCACTACTAGGTGATAGGGGTCCGTAAGTGGCAATCACTCTGAAAACACTCTACTCTATACTCTGCTCCAGTTTTCTTTGTCTTTTTTTCCCCTCTCTTCTTTTTACTCTGTACTATTTACTCTCTCTGCATTTTAACAGTGTTCTTAACGTGCCCTCAGCAGTTTCATCTCAAAGGTAGTGTCCACCTTCGCTGACTTTACCACAAAACAGAGCACTCCCCATCGCAGACTTCACCTCAGAACAGAGCGTCCACTCTCGCCGACTTCCTCTCAGAACAAACCGTTCACCCTCGCCCACTTCAACTCAGAACAGAGCGTTTACCTTTTTTCCATTTAAACTCAAAACAGAGCGTTCACCCTCACAGAGTTCAGTTCAAAACAGAGCTTCACCTACTTCAACTCAAAACAGAGCGTTCACCTTCACCCACTTCACCTTAGAACAGAGCGTTCACCTCCTCCTGCTTCACCTCACAACAGAGCGTTCACCTCCTCCTGCTTCACCTCACAACAGAGCGTTCACCTCCTCCTGCTTCACCTCACAACAGAGCGTTCACCTCCTCCTGCTTCACCTCACAACAGAGCGTTCACCTCCTCCTGCTTCACCTCACAACAGAGCGTTCACCGTCACCCACTTTACCTCAAAACCGAGCGTTCACCTTCACCGGTTTCAACTCGAGACAGCGTTTACCTTCTTCCACTTCAACTCAAAAGCGTTCACCCTCCCCAACTACAGCTCAAAATAATGTTCACCTTCGCCGACATCAACTCAAAGCAGAGCGTCCACCTTTGCTGACCCCATACAAAACATAGAGCATTCAAAACATTTACTTTCACCGACCTCACCGCAAAAGTGTTTACACTCGCTGACTTCACCTCAGAACAGAGCGGTCACCTTTGTTGACTTCAACTCAAAGCAGAGCGTTAGTCTTTGCTGACTTCATTGCAGAGCGTAGAGCATTCATCTTCACCAACCTCAGCTCAAAACAGCCTCAGCCTTAGCATTTTCGCCAGCTTCACCTCGAAAGTGGATTTTCCAACACAGTAGTCTGCCTGTGGCCAGGCTAAGCTCTGTGACCTAATTAGCTAGCAAAGCAAATTTGGTAAAGTGTGTTTTTGAGAAGGCCGAGCGTCACGTATGTTAACCCTGTGAATAATTACGTTAAACTTTAAGTTAAGAAGAACACCGTGTCCTTCCTTTGTCTTGTTGCCAGCTTTATAGGCCTTAACCTCTGAGATGGGTGTATCAAGCCTTTTCTCTTTGTTTTTTTTAAACTTACCTCACCCCTCAAAGAGGTCCATCAACCTTCAGTTGAGCTAATACAATGATGGAATGGTCCTTAAAATGACATGGAAGTTTTCCTGAACGGAAAATGTTGAGGGCATGTTAAACAGTATTGAAACGCAGTTCTGTCTTCTGTTTCCTCTGCCTTTGGAAGTCTAATAGACTTTTTGTTTAGCTCTGCTGAATCTGCTGAAATGCTGGGGTGTCTCTAGACTTTACAGAGAGAGAGTATAAGAAACAAAAACACAGAGGTGTCTAAAAACGGGCATTCACTGAATTGCTGCAGGTTCAGCCCTGCGGCTGCGTCCATGGTGTGTGTGGAATGATTTGATTTCGAAACCCCGTTTCCTCCGTATCCCCCCCTCCTCCCTCTTCTCTTCCTCTCCCGTCCCCTTTCTCTCTCCCTTTTCTGTGCTCCCCGCTCCTTTTGGTTGTGTTCCACAAGCTTCACAAACATGATGAAGAACAAGCAGCCGACCGCCGTGAGCATCCGGGCTACGATGCAGCAGCAGCACATGGCCAGCGCTCGCAACCGCCGGCTCGCCCAGCAGATGGAGAACAGGCCCTCAGTGCAGGCCGCCCTGCAGCACAAACAGGTAAAGAGAGAGAAGAGCCAGTGAGGAAAAAGGGCTGCAACTATTGAATATTTTCATTTTTGAACGTTCTTTAAAATACTATCACAAATATTTGATTATTCTATAAGCTCAAAATAGGTTTCACTTCACTGATTGAATAGAAAAAATATCAGTTTAGAACGTTTAAAAGATGCTGTTGAGGATTTTATAGATCATATTAGAAAGATTTACGTCATCCTTATCAAAACAAACACAAAGGTGGGAAACCGCACTAATGTCCGTGTTCCAAAAAGACCAAAATGGAACATCCGGAACGCCCCTTTTCCAAAATTTCTGCATTATTAAATGGTGAAGATGTAAACAAAGCAAATCAGAGTGGTTTGGTGTAAAATACTCTGTTCTAGAGAAACTTAGTCAGAATTGTTCACAGTGGTGGTGATAGGAACCAAACGTCCACCTCTAAAAGCTCCCTCGCAAAGTTATTATGTGAAATGGGAGTGTCTTGCCTGATGACTGCGACGATGTTTTATCGTAGTTTTGAGAGGATGATTTTCAGATTTCACCATCAATGTTCCATATAAAGCTCAGACTCGTGTAGGTTCACTGGTGGTTTTGGGTAGTAAATAAAACGTCTATCTTGTGTTGTAGACATGGTGACCCCTGGTTCCCATCACCACCACTGTAAAGTAAACACCCTTTTAAAAGTGAGGGCAAACGTTTCAGTGGTCCATACTGTCCATGTCCGTTCTAAGTGTTTTAGATCCGTATCTTTTTATGTTGTTGCTCTTTAGTTTTCTTCTTCTTCTTCTTATTATTATTATTATTATTATTATTATTATAATTACTGTAATTTATTGTTAAGTAGTCTTTTTCTATGATTGCTGGAATCTATTGTTCTTTATGTTTATGGTTTTTAAAGAAACCCAAAAGACTAACAGGTGGTAAAGGATAAAAGCAGCTAGCTAGCAAGTACGAAAAGCGTTTGGACTGAACAGGCGATTAAAACCAACATTATCACCTCAGATTAGAGCTCTAATACAGACAGTTTGGAGCGCAGTTAGGCAGCTCGACCACTGACTGCTGCAGAGATATCACTGTCATTTTGAGGGGAAAGGACTGCAGGACTGATGAAGAGAGGCTGTTCTAGAGTGACGTGCAAGCAGGTCTCACTCTCTTCAGATGCACTGCTAATGTGCACTACTCCTGAATCGGTAGTGGTTAGCTTTATAAATAAAACTTTCGATGAGGTGCATGTTTGCAGTAAAGCAGCTAAAAGTCGTGGTTATTCAAATTGCTTTTTCGTTTTTGAATATTATTAAATTTAGAGGGTCAAATTTGTTGCAGCCTTAGTGAGAAAGAACAGTAAATTACGCGTCTTAAAGGATTAAAGGTCAGCAACAAATCAGATTTGTGTAGAAAACGTAGGGTTTTTTTTTTTTCCTCCCCAGTCCTTTACATCCCAGGGAACATGTACAATGTGCTTGCTAGGTCCAGGTGAGACCGTAGAGAATGATGTGGTTTTAAGTAAAAATAATTTAGTCGTTAAAACGATAAAAGGCTTCATCAGTAGAGCTACTTCTTTTACAGACAATAAAAACCTAGTAACAGTAATAATAAAATGATGTAAAATAAATAACAATGAACAGTATCACTGAAAATAGAGAGCATATATCAAATGAAAGACTTAATAAAAACCAATTAACTTTAAATGCTATGTTAAAAAATATATATTTTCAGATGTGTTTGGTTTGACATTGTATGGCATAACGTTCTATAAAATCGTGTCGCTGCTGTCGGAACAAAGCCGCGTATATCCAAACTGGTAACTTTACAGGAGAAGCAAAAAAACATGCTTTACTTTTAATGTAAGTCAATGGAACCAGAATTTTGTCCAAGTAATTCTGGGCCATTTCTTTTAGTCCATTTTTCATGACATTTACACACAAAGTAAAAGTCAACAGGCATTTTCAAATTATGTCAAAAAACCGAACAGAGTCTGTCTGCAGACATGCACTCTCAGACAGATGCACTCTCTGCCACAGTGGCAGAAACAGCCCAACGGCACGTTAACTTCTGGCTGCTTCTGCTTAGTGAAATCATCTTTAAATCCATTTTTTTGTCCTTAACACGGAGAGAGAGTTACATTTAATGTACCTCCCTGTTGAAAAAACTCATAGAACCCATTAAAAGTGTCTGTTGGCTCCTGGTGGTTTTCAGTAGTCACTAATGGTGTTCTGTGGTTTCCTGATGGGTTGATATCACAGTGTAAAGGATTCTAATCATTTAATCAGGCGTTTTAGGATTGATTCCAGATACATTTGTTCGTTTCCTAATGGTCTCTAATGGTCGGCAACCATCAAGCCAATTCCCGTTAGGAAGCAAAGCCATCAGGTTCTAATCGTCTTCAGCATGGCTTTCGTGAGTTTCAGCGGTAGCCGGTTTGCTTGATTTTTCTGCTAATAAACCTGACATTGTTTTATCGTTGTGGTTTTATTTTGAAGTTTCCATATTTAATTACCTTATTATCGGTACGACAACGTTAATATACGTTCAGTGTAACTCTTGTTGCCCAGCAGTTCGTGGTTCAGTTTTTCCTCCTAAAACCGACAAAAACACCGTCGTGGCAGAGCGGCACTGGCGTCATTAATAGACTGGCGGTGCATGTCAGGCTGAGAGAAGAAAATGCGGTTACGAGGTTTTGTTCCAACAGCAGCGATGTACAAAAGTATACTACATGGCTACGAGCAGTACCAGCAGTTATTTTGAAGCTTGAAAATTGTCCAGTATGAGCTGCTATATCTTTTTGTCAACATTAGCCTTGTAGCTCCAGAGTAAAACTAAAGAAGCAGATTTCAAGCACTGAACATGTCTTGACTGATCCACTACATTTGGCTTATAGGAGAAAATTGTATGAATGACTCATTGTCCTAAAATGAGCTCCACGTTATTGGAGGCCAATAGGAGGTGTCCCGCTTATAGGTATGTTACTTAGCGGTGTTCAGTCTTAATTTGCGCTCACAGTGTAATTATCTGCAGAGTCTGAAGCAGCGACTAGGGAAGAGCAACATTCAGGCCCGGCTGGGTCGGCCCATCGGCTCGTTGATGCGGGGTGGAGCCGGAGGGCGGGGCTTCGGCATGGGAGGAATGCGCGGAGCCGCCCGAGGCCTGAGGGGACGAGGAAGAGGCGGCACCATGAGAGGAGCTCTGGCTCTCAGAGGTGAGATCAACATGTGATTCATCTGTACTGCATTTTGTTTTACAGCCCTCTGCTGGTTATACAGCAGCACTACAGCTTTTAAACCAGTAATTAATAAATCAGTTAACAAGTCTGAAAAGTGAAAGTTAATTTGAACGGACGAGCAGCGTCATTTGTTTTTTGTGAATGAGTTGAACTTTGATCTTTGACGTGAAATTGCTATCTTTGAGAAGTAGCACCAGAGAACTTGTAGAGAAGGGAATTACCCTTCTGTAATGTCTTCCAGGTTTCTCAAACGCTAGAGGGCGCTCCCGAGTGAGTCCAAAATGAATGAGTTAATATGGAGCATTTCGGCAAAATCACAGTGTAGAAACGTTTAAACATTTTTAATGTAAAAGAATACAATCATATCCTGAACACAGAACAGCATAAAACATTTTAACACTGCTGTTATATTTTTAAGAGCTTTTAAACTCGAGTTATAGGAGTTGAAAACAGCGCCTCGTACATCTGTGATATCCGTGAGCGCAAACAGTGAATGAGCTGTTCCGCTCGCCAACCAATCAGCACTTGGTAGCAGTAATGTTAACGTTCTGCTGCTCAAAACCCGTTTACTGTAGAAAAAAGGAAACATACAGGTGAGTTTTCTTTGCTTTTTAAGTGAAATACATCCTTCTACTTTCTAAAATTAAAGGAAAGTTCTGGGTGAGAGATTAGAAACTATTTTAACTTTTTGTTTTTAGTCGTTGAGCTCCATTTACTCCCATTCATTGAGGACTCTCTCGTGGGCGCCCTCTGCTGTTTAGCAGTCTTGTTTTTATATAACGGGGGAAATAGGAAGTGGCCAGGCTCCTCATAAACCTGACATTTGAAGGGGCGGCCCTTCAAATAACACCACTGAAGCTCGAAAACGGAGGAAACTGTAATTTAAATACTGTCTAAGCACAAACTTTAACATTTTGTTCCCCGCTGAATATAAACAAATACACAAAGGCGAAACTGCATAACACACACTTGGTCAAGAGAACATATTGTGTTTTTCTATCACACTCTTGTGATTTTTAGCAGTTTGTGGTAGGCGTTAGCCAGCATGCTAACTGTGATGCTAGCTCCTATTCATTAAAGGAATCTCTGTGTGTGTGTTCATCACTTGATGTGCAAATGTTTCTCTTTACACATCCCCCAAGATGTCTGTTATTAGGTGATGCAAAGCATTTCACCTTTTCTATGGTTTGTGTAATAGAGAGATGCAGCAGTGAATAATGGCTTATTTCTGCCAGCACTTATAAAGGAGGCAACTTACAATTGATTTGTTTTCAGCGTGCAGATGACACAGCGTGCAAAATTTCAGGGATTCTGTAATGAATTAAGAGAGGAAGGCAATCATATGTATGGCATTTATGAATCATACAAAAGTCATAGTCTTTTATACATGTAGTCCCTTCATTTATAGTAGTTACTCGCTTTTGCTAAGAATTTTAAATGTTTACAAACTTCTCCATCTTGAATATAATTTTATAACACGCAAAAAAGCATTTTTATGAAGAGCTGATGAAAATAAGAAGGCGGATAATAAACAGAATCTCTAAGAATTCTGGGTAGCCCTGCCTCCCCTATTCCCATGATATTTACATTGCTTAAAACTCTGAGAACTGAGTCATATGTCAGTAAAGCACGGTTTAATTACAACAGTTGAAAGATTTTTTTTTAATAAATATAAAATCAGTCAATACAAGGTGATTCAAAAAGATTCATCCGGTTTCAAAATGATTGATTTCACTTGTAAATCGTTACAGATCAATGCAGTAAACTGTAAATGGTTTAAATGAACAAAGTTTATGTAATTTTACAGGTTCTCAATATGAACCTCCACCTGCTGTACAGACAACATCAACACCATAGTCAAATTCATCCCATACTCGATTGAGCGTGTCGGGTGTTGCTGCACTCACGGCTCTTTCAGTGTGATTTCGGAGATCATCCAGTGTTGTGGAACCAACGGCGAACGCTCTGAGCTGTTGGAGCTTCACTGCCCACGAAAATCACATTACACAGTTATCACAGATTCACTCTTATTGAAGTGGAGAACGCAGAACGCTTTCTGCTCAGGGGTCTTCCATCTCCTTACAGATTGAAGGGAACCATCTTCTGATGACAGTCAGAAACTCTGAGACCCCCTCTTTCAGTTGGATTGTGATTGGTTCCTAGGCGCCTCACGGATGTAAAAATATGGTGCTTTGAAATCAGATGAATCTTTTTGAATCACCCTGTATTATAATCCTTTAGGCCTTTGGTATCAGTATCAGTCAAACTGTTCATGCTCAGGCCAAAGTAGTGACTCTGTCGTACAAGAAACCATTGAAAAGGCTCTGTTGCGTCATTAAAACCTTGAGTACAAGAATGTTTGTCAGCGCTTTTGGTAAAAGTTTCTCATGTTATGCAGAGTTTTGGTGCGACAGGCTTTAATCAAAGCACTGATGTGATAACTGGCGGCTGCAGCCATGAACACTTCAGTCGTTGTTGGTTCCAAGGACGGTCAGTTTACGTCTGGAACAACCTTGCTTTGCTCTGAAAGTGTCCTTCAGAGATAAATCACCACCCACAGAAGCTCTGGACATTTTTACTGAGTTAAATCGTCGTCAGTCAGAACTGGCCTCCTCCATGCTACGAATGTTGTGCTGCTGAGTAGACAAGCGTGTGGGTACCACACCTGTCTTGGGACGTATGATGTGGTGATGGAGAAGGACAGCTGGGCTTTTACTGCTGCTCTCACACTGTCATCTGACGCCAAAAGGCTTAAAGGAATCCTCCAGCGTTTTTCACCTCAGTCTGTCTGTTTCAGCACCGGTCCATTGGCTTCTGCTGAGATTACGAGTGTTTTTTTGTTTTGTTTTTACTAAGTACAGGGAACAGTGTAAAATTGTGTCAGTGGTAATCAATCATACCAGAGATAAGAGTTGAAACTGAAGCCTTCACCCGTGTCTTTGAGACCTGACCCTAAATTTGAAACCCAAGCCCTCTCTCGTAGGCACTGACAGAGAGGCTTATTGCAGACCTGGTTTTACAGTGATTTCTAAGTGTTTGAGTTGATCTACAGAAGATTAGCTTAAAAGTCAAGTCAAACTCTACAGGCTTTCCTGAAAGCCAAGCTTTTGCTGTAGCTGACACGGACTTAACCGGTGTGAGGAAGTTCACTGACGCTGACCGTTTCGGGCTGGTAGCTGCTGCTTAACGGCGTGGTAGGGCTAGAGGGTGGGCAATATGACAAAAATGTGAAATCATGATTCAAGAAGACCTATACATGTCGCAATATTGTTATTTCTAATGTTGGACCAGACAAAATATCGCCTCATTTTAAAAGTACTATCAAAAACAGCAAATCCAAAGATTTATATTGAACATGTCACTGTGCTGCACTAAATCCAGTTAAAGCCACCTCCCCTTTTCTTCAAACAGTTACCTGGGAAGTGTCGTATGTACTGACAATATCCTTGAGATGGTCAGTAAAGCATATTATGATATGTAATTGAACACAATGACAGTAAATATTGTCATTGCTTTCCATGGTAGGAAAGTGCGTTCCTACTGATTTTGGTGTTTATCAATAAGAGTTCATGGACAGAAAGCTGGTTAACCAGAGAAGCAAAAACATGTGAACAAAAGGGGAGAAATGGATTTTGTCTGAAGTTGATATAGAGCTGCGAAAAGCCATTTCAAAATGTTTTATAATTCAGATATAGCAGAGGGACGTTGGGTCGTTTCTTGTGTTGGATGAGTAACATGAAGGAGCCTCAGATGAGCTAAACTACAGCTAACCACTAACACTGGATGCTGACGGAGACTCGTCGTCTTTTACAAGTGTTTTTGTCCTCTTCAGCCACAATATTTTGTTTCAGCTGGACCAAAAGTCAACCTAGTGCAGCTTTTACAAATAAAAATAAGCCATCTTTGCATTCTGTCTCCTTGGTAACATTCTTATGTCTCAGAGTAGCACAGTTTAGCAAGTGCTGTCATTTATCCAGAATCGATTTCAACCACGTTGTGCTTTTACAGGTGCAGGCCAGCTCAAGGGCCGAGGTGGTCCTGGACGCATTGGGCTTCGCAGAGGTATGCGCCAGCGTGGAGGACCCCCTGGTAGAGGCGCTATCCTGAGTGGACGTGGTGGAGCTGGACGAGGGGGAGCTGGACCCAGAGGTGAGGGCTTGTGGCCTTTTATAATTCATTTTACAGTTTCATTACAGTGGAATCGGAAACCATGATTTCAGGCAACACCCAAGAGTGGATTAATTAGAAAAGGTGATGCGTTTCATGCGTCTTTGCAAATCTGTATCAAACTTTGTGCTGTCACAGGTAGTTAAAATGAGACAGCTGGAAAAACTGCAGTATTTAGATAAATATCGTTACTGTCCAACAAAAAACGTCTCCATTTTTGTCGATTTTCAGTTTTCTACATGACAAATGTACCAATAGAAATGCTCTAAAATCACTTGGAATAAAGTCTCTTCACATGAACTTAGATTGAAAGGTAAGAGTGTTTTGCCTTCTCCTGTAAAGCTGCTATTTTGGAGATGCTTGTTTTTATTTGGACAGCGACGATATATGTCAATACTGCTTTGTAATGTTACCCTGCCGGCCCAGCAAAAGCAACACCAAATGTTATTTCACATATTAATTGCTACAAGGCCAAACTTGACATGTTTTCACCAGATTTTTGTTCGAATTGTGTCTGCGCTTGTTTGTGGCACATCAGAATAATGGTTATGATGAAACTCATGCCTGAGGATACTGGATGAAACGTTATACCACCCACTATGAGTGCAGGGGTGTCCAGTCTGAACTGCGGAGGGCTGGCGTGGCTGCAGGTTTTTCTTCCAAACAAGCAGAAACACCCCTGGTTTCTCCAGTTTAATCAGTTGGTCTTGGTCTTTTACAACGGGTCAGGACTTTGTTGGGAGAAAAACCTGCAACCACTCCGGCCCATTGCGAGTAAGGTTGGACACTCCTGCTGTAGTGTTTCCATCAGTGGGTATGAATCATATGAACATGATAGAGTATTATTGAGCATGTTTTGGAAATAATAACAATAAAAATCCATGTCCATGTTGTTTCATACTCTGTGTAATCAAAATGGGTACCGCCTTAGTCATAAAAGCTGGTGCTACTATAATGTAATCAGGAAAAACAAATGAGGACTCTGGTTCTCTACAGATTAATGAAGTAATTTTACCTCTTGCCTTCGCTTTGTGTTCGCATTGACCGAATGTGCCCTCTTCTTTCAGGACGTGGTGGTCTTCGGGGCCGTGGGGGTTTCGTTGGAAGGGGCCGCGGCCGTGGCAGAGGAAGAGGAGCCGGCCGTCCTGCCGTTACGAGGGAGCAACTGGATAATCAGCTGGACGCCTACATGTCCAAAACCAAGGGCCACTTGGATGCTGAGCTGGATGCATACATGGCCCAAGCAGACCCTGAAAGTATGGAGTGATGACAGCGGTGCTCAGAGATGGAAGGATAGAGAGATGAGAGCAGGGCCCATATAGATCTGCAAATAAAAAAGACTGATGTTTTCATGTCGGCCAACAGCCGCGGCATTTCATGTGCTGAGTGCCCACCGAAATCCTACTGACATTTGGACTGATAACGTTCCACAAACGTGTAGAGCTCTTCTACTGATTGTTCACTGGTCTAGAACATAACACAGGCAAAGATTCTTAAGAGTAGACACATTGCTTTGACTCAAATGTTTGATAAAAATATTGATTGGAAGAGGTAAGAAAGGCTTTCTGTAAAGTGGACATGATTAAGGATGTGTATGTAAGCCTATCCTGCCCGTTGAACAACTTTGCCGAGCCTCTGGTCGCGAAACCCAAAACTGACATGGACCTAGAACAGACCCTTGCTGAACCACTCTCTCCTTAGAGCACCATTATGGCCCTGGAAACTCGTTTCAACTGGACTTTGAAGAAAAGAGTAAAAACCTCAGCTGTTTGGTTTTGACACAGGCTGTCCCTGAATACAACGTCCTACGAATGTCTTTCCCCCTCCCTTTTATTATAATGGTATTTTATTGTGATTTTTAAAGGTAGAATTTTTGAAGAGGGTGATTGTTATAACTACTTTTTGCTTCTTTATGTTAAAAAATATAGAAAATATCGAAGTATAATGTAACCCACATCCATTTTTATTTTTATTTTTTTGCATTTTAATAAATTTTGGCCTCGATGGTCCAACAACACTGTACATGTGCTTGACTTTTTGTAAACAGCAAACTACACAACTGCAGTGTTTCTAAAGTCCATTTATGTTGCATTGTTTTATACTGATAGTAGAAAGATGTATTTTAATGGTCATAAAAAGATCATATTAAGCACATTTATAGACCTGTAAAATATTAGTACTTTACACCTTGTATAAACAAAAGGTGTTTAATTTGTCTTTACATGTTATTGGGACGCAACTGACCATTGTGTGTGTATGGTAGTGCATTTTGTTTGGTTTTTGTATTTTAGCAGAATTGCTACATGTATGTGATTTTCATTTAGATTTTATAGGGGTTCCACAGTGTTTAAAATACACCGATCAGGCATAACATTATGACCACCTCCTTGTTTCTGCGCTCATTATCCATTTTATCAGCTCCACTTACTATATAGGCGCACTTTGTAGTTCTACAGTTACAGACCGTAGTCCATCTGTTTCTCTGCATACTTTTACCCTGTTCTTCAGTGGTCACACCACCACCACGTTAGTGTCACTGCAGTGCTGAGAATGATCCACCACCCAAATAGTACCTGCTCTGTGAGGGTCCATGGGGGTCCTGACCACTGAAGAACAGGGTAAAAGGGGGCTAACAAAGTATCAGAGAAACAGATGGACTACAGTCTGTAATTGTAGAACTACAAAGTGCACCTATATAGTAAGTGGAGCTGATAAAATGGACAATGAGCGTAATGTTCTTTTATAATTCAGTATATCAAATATAAAATTCATATAATCAGTCATTCAGAGTGGTTTGGTGTGAAATGGTTCAGATGTCTTTACAGTGGTACTGATAGGAACCAGGGGTCGCCATGGCTACAACACAAATATAGACTTTTTATTTACTATCTAAAACCTCCAGTGAACCTACACGAGTCTTCTGAGCTTTTATATGTAATGTTGATGGTAAAATAGTGGAAAATCTAAAGTATTTTGTGGACTACTTTGCCTTACAACACCCTGCATGTATCCCTCCACCATGAAAAGTTTTAAAATGTGTTTTAGCCCTAAGCCTTGTCTTAAAGCTCTTGTAAAACAGTGGCAGTGTATTCATAAGCATTTTGTGTATTAATGTTGTTACGGAGCTTTTACAGGCCTCTAAGGGTAATGCCACCCATTTCTCAAAGTTTCTGCATAACGATTAAGATCTAAACAAAGTCATGCAGAGTGTGAAAATCTCTGTTCTAGACTCTCACTGGGGCAACTGCACTGTCATCATCTTAGTTGTGGTTTAGAGTTTAATCTGAGTTTAAACCTGAATGAGTCATGGAGGTTCTTGAACTCCATTGCTGTGTCTTTAGAAGCTGCTGTTTAAACTAATCCCAATTGCTGTCATTTAAAATCCCACATCTGCTATATATATATATATATATATATATATATATATATATATAAAACAGTACACTACATTAGCTGCAGGTAACTGTTACACCTCTTTAAATGTCCCCAATGTACAGTAGGTTTTTTAAGAAACTGCCCGTTCGCTTTCACCAAACACCTGGCTTTTTTTTTGGTCGTTTTTGTGGTGCTGTCCCATAGACTGTTGTTGGGGAAGGGGGTGGGAGCACAAATTACGTTGCAGTGCATGCTGGGAACTGTATTGAGGCTCATAATGAAATGGGCTTGTGTTAATATAAGATTAAAATAGCTTTGCAGGCCTGATTTGGCCCAGATGCCTTGTGTTTAACACATGGGCACTAGATGGTGCTGTATCTCAGGTTAAACTGAGGTTTTCTTTAAACCTGTTAGACATGGTTTTACTGAGTTTTAAGGCAAGATTATTGTAATTGAACTGCATTTTCAGCCCAGATATTTTAATATTCCATACTCAGGCCTATATGACTTCCACCATAATGTTTTGTGGGCTTCATGGCATGTTTTGCTTTAATGCTGAGCTGTCGTGCTCAAGTAGAGGTATTGATATTAGTTGCAGTTTTGATCAGGCTGTTTTGAATGTATTGTTCAGAGAAGCTAATTATGACGTAAGGCTATCACTGTTATTGACTTAAGAAAATGTTTATTCTTCATTTAAATATTTTGATCAGTGCATTATACATATATATATATATATATATATATATATATATATATATATATATATATATATATGTATATATGAAAGCTTTTATATAGTAAAATACACTATATGGACAAAAATATTGGGACACACCTCTTAATCATTTAATTCAGGTGTTTCATTCAGTCCCATTGCCACAGGTGTATAAAATCAAGCACCTAGCCATGCAGCCTGCCTTTACAAGCATTTGTGAAAGAATAGGTCATTCTAAAGAGCTCACTGAATCTGAATGTGGTGCTGTAATAGGATGCCAACATTGCAACAAGTTAAGTTGTGAAATGTCTTCCCTCCTAGATATTCTACCATCAACTGTCAGTGGTATTATTGAAAAGTGGAAGCGTTTAAGAACCACAGCAGCTCAGCCACGAAGCGTCAGACTACATAAAGTTACGAAGCGGGTCGTCGAGTGCTGAGGTGCATAAAAGTCACGAACGCTCTGCTGATCAATAACTGCAGAGTTCAAACCTCCTCTGGCATCAACATCAGCACAAAAACTGTGCAGCAAGAGCTTCATGTCAGGGTTTCCATGGCCGAGCAGCTGCATGCAAGCCTTACATCACCAAACACAAGGCCAAGCGTGGGATGGAGTGATGTAAAGCGCCGCCACTGGACTCAGTGGAAATGTATTGTGTGAAGTGACGATTCACACTTCTCTATCTGACAGTCTGATGGACGAGTCTGGGTTTGGCGAATGCCAGGAGAATGTTACCTGCCTGACTGCACTGTGCCAACTGTAAAGTTTGGTGGAGGAGGGATGATGATATGGGGTTGTTTTTCAGGGGTTGGTCTAGAACCCTTAGTTCCAGTGAAGGGAAATCTTAATGCTTCAGCACCAAGACAGTTTGGACATTTGTACACTTCCAACTTTGTGGGAACAGTTTGGGGAAGAACCTTTTCTGTTCCAGCATGACTGAGCCCCAGTGCTCAAAGCAAGGTCCATAAAGTCCTGGCTGGGTGAGTTTGGTATGGAAGAACTTGACTGGCCCCCACAGAGCCTTGACCTCAACCCCATCAAACACCTTTGGGATGAACTACAACAGAGATTGTGAGCCAGGCCCTCTCGTCCAACATCAGTGTCTGACCTCACAAGTGCTCTTCTGGATGAATGGGCAAAAATTCCCACAGACACTCCAAAATCTTGTAGAAAGCTTCCCAGAAGAGTGGAAGCTGTTATAGTTGTAAAGGGAAACCAACTCCATATTAATGCCTATGGATTTAGAATGGGATTCATAAAAGTACCTGCAGATGTAATGTGTAGGTGTCCCAATACATTTGTCTATATAGTGTATGTCCTTATTATTATAGTGTTTTGTTTTAGCTAGATCATAATGTAAATTGACAGTACATCCGGTTTAGCAGTGGATCTGTTAGACTTGTGCTTGGTTTGACAGAGCAGTCAGGTTTAATTCAACACTCAGCTGTGTGTTAAACCTCTGAAGTTACGGGTTTAGCCAAACCCGTGTTAGACTGAGATTTAACTGCTGCTAAGCTAATGACAGCTAATGACAGAGCATGTTATTTTTTAAGTACTTTTGAAAAAAAAAAAACATGTAGTGTCATAAAATGAACTGTTAAAATGTACAAGTATACTGGCAACCTGAGCCGGTTTATGAGGAGCCCGGCCACTTCCTATTTCCCTTGTTATATCAAAATCAGGACAGCAAAACAGCAGGGAGTAAATGAAGCTAGATGGCTAAAAATGAAAAGTTAAAATAGTTTCTAATCACTGAACCAGAACTTTCCTTTAATTCTAGAAAGTAGAAGGATGTATTTCACTAAAAAAGCGGAGAAAACTCACCTGTACGTTTCCTTTTTTCTACAGCAAACAGGTTTTGGGCAGCAGGACGCTAACATTACTGCTACTGAGTGCTGATTGGTTGGTGAGTGGAGCAGGTCATTGGCTGTTTGCACTCACAGACATCATGAATATACATGAGGCGCTGTTTTCACCTCCTATAACTCGAGTTTAAAAGCTTTTAACAATATAACAGCAGTGTTGATGTTTTAAGCTGTTCAGGAAATAATTGTATTCTTTAACATTAAAAATGTTTAAGCATTTAAGAACTATGATTTTGCTCAAATGCTCCATCTTAACCCATTCATTTTGGACTCGCTCGGGAGCGCCCTCTAGCGTTTAAGCAACCCTCTACATGTTCTCTGACTGGCCGTGTGCAAAAAGGTAAAGTTAGCAAGTTGCTAGCTGTGTCGTCTCATTCACCACAAATACACTTTACCCCTGCATGACAAAAAGTTTGGGCACCCCTGAACCGAAAGTAAATGAAATGGTTATGAATGAAATGCTGCCTAAAGCCATGAGATATTGTTTTATAATATTTTTGAGAAGATTTTGGCCTAAAATCCATTCAGGGTGGAGGAATACATGTAGGATGTTGTGAGGCAAAATAGTGCCCAAAGAAAGCCTATTTTTTTTCAGATTTATCCATCACTAACATTATATATAAAACCTCAGAGGACACGTGTTCACTGGTGGTTTTGGATAGTAAACAAAATGTCCAGGTTTGTGTTGCCTGGGTTTCTATCGCCACCACTGTAGAGAAATCCGAGTAACCGAACTCGAGTCTGCGCACTAGATAGGCGCCCTAGTAAGAGCGCAGGCGTGTGTATTGGAGCGCTCAGCGATGTTGCGGAAACGACGTGTTTGTTTGCGGTGACGTCGTCGGGTGCCATGGCAACAAGCCGCCTCTGCGCTTCTAAGCGAGCAGAAAGAGCAGAGGAGGCTTCGGAGCGCCGGAGAGCGCAGAGCTCCGGAGATCCCGACTTCCCGAGGTATTAAGGCATTTTAAAAGTCTGCTCTTCGGCTGCTGCGGTCGTTTAAAGTGTGGAAGTCCGGCGTCCTGCGGTTTCTTCGCTGGGGCGATGCTGGAGGCAATAAAAGTGACCGGTGAGTTTGTGTTTACTTGATTTTCCCGTTTAAACTGTGCTGCTTTTCCTGTTTCACTGCTGTGTTCTTCATTATTTACCCTAATAAATGTACCCAGTTCACCCAAATCCACTGTCCTGTACGGTTTACTGCTCCAGTAACGTTACACCTGCTTCAGATGAAGCTGAAGGCGCCAGGACGTGTAACTGCTGCTGCACCATTTAAGGTGGAACGGGGAAATTCTAATGAGAAGCTGGAGAAAAGGGAACCAACTTCAGTCTCGTTTGCTTTAACTCATCAGCTCAAGTCCTTCATGAGGTTAAAATGAGGGTAAAGCAGGAGAAAAAAACTGAAATGTGCAGTGCAGTAGATCCATGACTGACACAAAGCATTAATATCACTCTTAAAGGGGAATTTCTGAATAATTCAGTACTTCAGATGTGAACATTCAGTCATTCAGAGTGGTTTGGTGTGAAATGGTTGATTGTAGAAACTCAGATGTCTTTACAGTGGTGGTGATAGGAACCAGGGGTCGCCATGACTACAACACAGATATAGACATTTTATTTACTATCCAAAACCACCAGTGAACCTAGTGCTGCTCGATTATGGCAAAGATCATAATCAGGATTATTTTGGTCAATATTGAGATCACGATTATTTAACATGATTGTTCATTGAGTTTGAAAACATGATGCATTTATTGAACTTCAAAAAAAGTCCTTCTAACAGTCTTTTTAACAGTGGATTTCCTTGAACTTTAACTATAATTTAACAAAAAAAAATTGTTATAAATGCGCTGAATTTCTAACATAATGACAGTTTATAGCAGTGATGAAATGAGAAGATCATTGCGAATTGGAATGCGGACAATAATCGCTTGGTCTCGATTATCATGTTTTCATAATCAATCGAAGCCAAAATCTTCTTTGAAAAATAAAACTTGATTAATCGCCCAGACCCAGTGAATCCACATGTGTATTTTTATGGAATGTTAAAGATGGTAAAATAGTGGAAAATCTGAAAAAAAAAAAAAGTTTCTTCAGGGACTATTTTGCTTCACAACACCCTGCATGTATCCCTCCACCGTGAATGGATTAAAATAAATAGATTCAAATACATTTTAAGCCCAAACCTTATCACAGAACTATCATAAAATACTGTCTCAGACGTCAGGTAGTGAATTCGTAACCGTTTCATGTAAAAACTTTCTGTAAAGGAGCTTTTAGAGGTGGACGTCTGGTTCCTATCACCACCACTGTGAACAATTCTGACTCTGTAAGTTTCTCTAGAGCAGAGTGTTTCACACCAAACCACTCTGAATGACTCTGTGTACATTTAATTATGTAGAATTTTTGAAAAATTGTTGGAGTTCCCCTTTAACACTGTAGTGATCTTCTGGAGCAGGAGGTGAGGAGCGGTGAACTGAAGAAAGTGACAGTGCTTTGGGTGATTATCTGCACTTCTGCAGCAGTCTAGCCTATATATGCTATAAAAAAAAGAGTTTCATTCCAAAATATTTTTTTGTTGTTTAACATTTTGGAAAAATAATAAAATATTAAATGCGCAATAACTTTTGCACAGGCAAAAGACAGTATATTAAATGTAAAAAAATAAATAAAACCCAAATTTGTCCAGGGTACCCAAACTTTTGCATAAGACTATGTATATATACATATATATACAAATATATATTCGTTATAAAGTATGTGCCAAAATGTATTTTTCAATGTTCAAAATTTATTCTATTGATTATTATTCATATATATATATATATATATATATATATATATATGCAATATTCAAAATTTAATAATTCTGTGACCAAGAAGTTAATAAATGCTAATAATATACTGAAATTAAATATTTGCATTATTTTTTTTGTAAAGTTTATTGCCAGTTATGAATTCTGTATTTTCATTTTATTATAATTTATTATAATTTGTACAGTCATTTCAGAATCTTCTACAGCTCTGTGGACACATCCAATATTTATTCATTTTTATTTACACTTAGTAATTATATGAAATCTGTGACGTTGTACAGGATGAGCAGATTAGAATCACTTCATTGATCTGCAGCCAAACTGGTTTTATATTATTGAAAGCATTGATTCCAAGCTGATTTGAGTGGCGCATAAATCTTAATGGATTGATTGCTGGATCAAACCCAGGAACCCAGCTGTGACTTACCTTTAACATAACATAACATTATATTTAACATAAAAAAAAAAAAAGTAGTATTTTTGCAGAACTTGCACTTATCCCATCTCATAGAGGTCGGCGATATGGCACAAATATGATATCGTGATACTTTGGGAAATTTTCACGATACACGATATGTCGCTACATTTAATTTTTCAGACATCTGGTCAGTTGGAACAGAGAAAAAAGAACCAGTAGCACTACATTAAAATTGAATACAGTAATTTTTATTCAATATTTCACATACTGTGTAGCAAAAAATCCAGTTAAACGGGACTAATTGTGCTCTCTTTATAATGAAGTACTGACGATATACACAATATATTACACAATAAAGCATATTGTATTGTGACATAATTTATCACAATAACGATATACATCATCTCATTGCCAAGCCCTACCATCTCATGTACGCATGATGTCAGTATAATCATTTCAGACTGATTTAAAATGCATCCTAGTTTAGTTCCACATCCTGGTACTTAATTGACTTGGTTAGTATGATTAGAGTAACACAGTGTGCAGAAGGAGCCGTCTGTCAGGCTGACTCTCAGCTCTCCGATGCTGAAGCTGTGCTCTCCTGCTTCCAGCTCAGTGACTTTATTAGAAGAGCTTCGCTGTTTTGATGCCTGAGGGTATTTTGCGAAGCTCAGGCTGTGTCCTCCGCTGTCCACATTCATCAGGCTCATTTTAATGGAACGTTAACTTCTCAGAAATCACTCGCTTCAGCGACGCGGGACACTCTGATGTGACGTAATGCTGAAAAATGAACATGTATTACTCACTCATGCACACAGCCATGCAAAGCTCATATATTAGAATAAGGGAAATGCATGTAAATGTAAATGTGCAATACACTCTCAGGAAAATGGTTTAAAAAAGGTTATTTAATTACAAGTTAGTTATTTTTCAGGAAGCAAAGCAAAAAAAAAAATTCAACAGGAAATTATACAACAATTACATATATATTTTTCAGTATTTATTGTGTCCACTCTACCTTTATTACAGCCTCCATTCTTTTCAGTAGACTCACTTTCAGTTTGTCAAAGAAATATATATTGTATATAAATATATATCGCTGTTGTTGGAACAAAACCTTTTATCTCAGTTTTTTGTCGCTTTTCAGTTTTTGACATAATTTGAAAAAGCCTGTTATTCTTTATATTAACTTCATGATGAATAGACTAAAAGAAACGGCCCAAAATTACTTATAAAAAAGTCTGGTTCCATTGACTTACATTAAAAGTAAAGTATGTTTTTTCCTTCTCCTGCAAAGTTACCATTTTGGAGATATGAGGTTTTGTTCCCACAGCAGTGATATATGCTAGATGGTTGCTGTGGTATTTGATATAATAATTCTATAATTACTATTGCTGTAGCATTTTATGCAGTTGTTAGGGGTTGCTAGCTGTTAGAATTGCTGGGTAGTTGCTATGGTATTTAAGGGGCTTGCTAGGGTGTTGCTAAGCAGTTGCTAAGATATTCGGTGGTGTTGCTTGGTGGTTGCTGTGAAATCCTAGGTGGTTGCTAGGGTGTTGATAAGTGGTTTGTTTACTCCAGGTGGTTGCCAGAGTATTGTTAGGTGGTTTACTATGGTATTCCAGGTGGTTGCTACAGGATTGCTGTGTGGTATTGGAGATGAATGCTATGGTTTTGCCAGGTGTTCACTATTTTACCATGGTTGGAATACATGGAATAACAGGAAGCTGCTAAATAACACCAAAAAACCCATAGTTGTGGTCTACTGTAAGTGAGTCTCAGTTGGTCTCAGAGCTGAATGGGGGTGTTTTCTGTCCTCCTCAGTCAGTAATAGGATTAGTCTGGTGTGTTACGGTAACTCAGTGGAGAGTGAAGGAGCCTCTACACTAAGCCTCCACTCTCTTTTCCCTTTTTACTCAGATCTGTTTCTTGTCTTTGTTGAACTCCGGGTTACATGGACAGGGGAGATTGTGTTTCCCGGGAAATGAGGACACAGCACTAAAACAAACAGTGAGCAAAGTGATACGATGCCCTGAGCTTTAGCCAAACCTTTGTTCCCTGGTTTAAGTAGAATGTTAGCCTGCACTGTACCTGCTTCTGAAAGTTCTTTAAGGGAACATCTGATTGAAAACCAAAATAGTTTTGCTTTTTTAAGTAAAGAGTTTGATGACCAGTGTAAACATTGTTAAAGTTTTAAAATGTACTGCTCACTTTTTGGTCCATGCAGTCCACCAATATGGAAACTAAGCTGTAGAAAGACCCTGTTTGGGATTCTTCATGGGTGTGATGTCACAACCATGAACTAGTTTACAATCGTGAGTGGTAAGGAGTGTTTCAGATTGGTTTTTGAATGAGGTACAAGGCAGGACAGAGCAGAGGTATTTACATGAATCAGTCTTAATGACTGTGTTTAATTGACATGGAAAATGTCAAGTAAAAATTAATTACGATTTTTTTTAGAACTTAAAATGACACAAATGTTCCAAGCGAAAATGCAAGAAAATAGTGTATGGGTCAGTTAACAGGCCAGTCATCATTCTTCACTAGTGGCACTTGCAGTTGCATTTGCTTGGCCAAAAGTTCACTCTCTTAAATAAACAATAAACAAGGTTTTTCTCGTTGTACTTTTTTGAAAATTGAATTGAACCACTTAAAATCTCAGGCTTATTAAACTCTTATTATTCTGCAACTAGTTCATTAACAGTTCACTGACAGTACAGGTTGTTACTGAAGGAGTGAACATTAGATAGACATATGGAAGCGAACACTGGTTTCTTGGAGTAATGATAGTTTCCTGCACCTCTGTCAGTCAGATACTGCACGGTGGTCTCGGGGCCAGTTTTGTCCAGTTTTCTTCTTTTAAAATTACAACAAACGGAAACTTGCACACTATTGTAAATATTTTCCAGACAGAAAACACATTTCCAATAAGGAAGCTTACTTTTTATTTCCTTTTAATGTATAATTATTTTGTATTCTGTTCTTTCAAAACCCAGGAAATTACATACTTTGCAGTTTATCACATTTTAGCAATACTGATAATTCTAGGGATTAATATTATTGTAATATTGGTACAGATGATACTGTAATGCCTGCTATAATGTAACAATAATTATTAATAATAATAATACATTACATTTAATAATAATAATAATAATGAATGTGCATGTGAACTGCGTTCTGAGTATTGTGAATGGGGCATTTCTCCACAGAGCGACTCCACTGGCCTGAGACTGAGATGGCTAAGAAGTTTGTGCTGAGTCCGTCGGAGAAGCCACTGAGCCCCAGTCAGCTATACCTTGAGCGCTGGTCTCCAGGTGTGCTAAAGGACCTGCTTGGGACCAGCAGCTACAATGGTATTCTACAGAACGAGGAGGAGGAACACCAGAGCCCCAAACGCTCACCTTACAGACGACCCAAAAGAACACAGCGCCTTGTTTCTGCAGCCTCGAGACAGCCTGGTGTGAGGCCTATAGTGTTAATCAGACCCAGAGAGGGTTACGGGGACAGCAACCAATCACAGATCTTCTCCAGCAGCACACGGTTGGGAAATAATATCACAATTCTTGGAAATCCCATCGGTCTGACCCCCCGTCCAATCAGCAGGCCAATAAGAATTTCTCAGGCAAGCACATCTCGCATCAAACTCCCCCTGCTGGCTGGTGAAAACACAGTGAAGAAGCTGTGCATCCTCACTGCCATCAAACCCTCCAACGTGGAGAGCGAGAAGACCCGCTTCTTCAAGTCAGACTTCATCTACAACCCTCAGTTTGAATACAGTAACCCAGTGGCTCCACAGGTGCTGGAAAAACACAACAATGCCTCTGACCGCTTCCTCACACAGGTATGGGTCAGTTATACACTGCTTTTTCACACAGGTACAGGTCGGTTACAGACCACTTTCTCACAAAGGTACAGGTCAGTTACAGAACGCTTCCCCATAGAGGTACAGGTCAGTTACAGACCGCTTTCTCACAAAGGTACAGGTCAGTTACAGATTGCTTCCTGTAAAGGTACCACACGGTTAAAGACCATTTTCTCACAAAGGTACAGGTCAGTTACAGACCGCTTCCTCACATAGGTACAGGTCAGTTACAGACTGCTTCCTCACACAAGTACAGGTCAGTTCCAGATTGCTTCCCCGTAAAGGTACCGGTCAGTTATAGACCGCTTCCTTACAAAGGTACAGGTCAGTTACAGACCGCTTCCTCACAAAGGTACAGGTCAGTTACGGACTGCTTCCTGTAAAGGTACGGGTCAGTCACAGATTGCTTCCTGTAAAGGTACCACACGGTTAAAGATTGTTTTCTCACAAAGGTACAGGTCAGTTACAGACCGCTTCCTCACAAAGGTACAGGTCAGTTACGGACTGCTTCCTGTAAAGGTACGGGTCAGTTACAGATTGCTTCCTGTAAAGGTACCACACGGTTAAAGATTGTTTTCTCACAAAGGTACAGGTCAGTTACAGGCCGCTTCTTCACAAGCGTATGGGTCAGTTATAGACCGCTTCCTCACACAGGCGACGGTCAGTTACATAATGTTACCTTACACAGGTACGGGTCAGTTACAGACCACTTCTACACACAGACGGAGTCAGTTACAGACCACTTTCTCACACAGAGTCAGTTACAGACCACTTCTACACACAGACAGAGTCAGTTACAGACCACTTCCTCACACAGAGTCAGTTACAGACCACTTCTACACACAGACAGAGTCAGTTACAGACCACTTCTACACACAGACGGAGTCAGTTACAGACCACTTCCTCACACAGAGTCAGTTATAGACCACTTCCTCACACAGAGAGTCAGGTACAGACCACTTTTCAAGTACAGGTCAGTGACAGACAGAAATATGCACTGACCTTCTGTACTGATGGACAAAAAGACATGAGCAGAGACAAACAAACCAATCATAGAGGAAATCCCCAAAAAAAACAATTTCTCTTTCTTTCTTTCTTTCTTTCTTTCTTTCTTTCTTTCTTTCTTTCTTTCTCACAGTTTTTCTTGTTCTCTCTCTCTTTCATCACATTTCTCTCTCTCACACCCTCTCTCTTTCTCTCTCTCTCTCTCTCTTGCCATCTCTTATTCTCTCCATTTCTCTTCTCTTTTACTTTCTCTTTCTTTTTCTTTCCTTCTGTCACTGTCTGTTCCCTTCTGTCTCTCTCTTGTCTTTCACTCTCCTTTCTTCTCTTTTTCTTATGCCCATTCTCTCATTCTCTCCAGCTCGTTCTCTCTCTCCCGCTCTCGTCTCACTCTCTCGTTCTCTCTCTCTTGTTCTCTCATTATCTTCTCCCCCCACTTTCTTTCTCTCTTCTCTCTTTCTGTCTCATTTTGTTCTCCTTTCTTTCTCTCTCACTTTCTTTATGTTTATCGTTCTCTCTCTGTCTCTCACTTGTCCCCCCCTTTCTCTCTCTCTCCTTTCCTTTCTCCATTTCTCTTTCTGTTTTTCATTCTTTCTTTCTTGTTTTTTATCTGTCTCTGTCTGTCGATCTCTCCTTCTCTTTTCCTCTCTGTTCACCTGCTGCTCTGTTGTAGTTCTCTCCTTGTAGCAGTGGCGAGTTTTGTATTTTGGGTTTTGCAGCGCTGCTTTTAGAGAGACCGACAGCTTTAGGAGGATTAACCCAGGAAAAGCAGGAGGCTGAAAGAGATACCGATGTTCCTTCAGGTTGGATTAAGGCAGTGAAGGATGCCTCAGTGTCGGTACAGTAGCTGTATAAATATTGCCTGGGCAGGAATCCAGCGGAGCTTCTCCTGAAGCAGCAGACAAACAGGACAATGTTAAAAGTGAAGGTTTAGCTGATTAGGCCAAAAACAGAACCCGATTAACGGGCTTAAAGAGAACAGCAGTGTCTGTCTAAAGCAGTTTCACTCAATGAGACTTAATATCCGGGAGCTGTTGGCAACACCTGTATCTTAGCTGGTGTTGCTAAAGTGATAAGAATGTGCTGGTGTTCATTTAAAACTGATCATAATGAAGATGTTCAGAAGGTTTCAGGACTGTTGTCGACGGCAGTTAAAGCAACATTTTGGCAAAAATCAAATCTACACGGTCTGTTGTGTCTTTACCAATTAGCATGGTGCTAACCACATTCTTAAATCATCACACTCTCGCCTCAAACTGTGTGGAGATACTGAGTCTCTAATAGACTTGATTATGCGGTTTCTGACTCTGTATGACACACTGTGATCATAGGCATAAGTCTGAAGTTTAACAAGATGGGGAAAAAATACTTTGCACAGGCCCCATATATATATATATATATATATATATATATATACGCTGATATATGACCTCCTTGTTTCTACGCTCATTGTCCGTTTTATCAGCTCCACTTACTATATAGGTGCACTTTGTAGTTCTACAGTTACAGACTGTAGCCCATCTGTTTCTCTGCATACTTTGTTAGCCCCCTTTTACCCTGTTCTTCAGTGGTCAGGACCCCCATGGACCCTCACTGAGCAGGTACTATTTGGGTGGTGGATCATTCTCAGCACTGCAGTAACACTGACGTGGTGGTGGTGTGTTAGTGTGTGTTGTGCTGGTCTGAGTGGATATATATATATATATATATATATATATATATATATATATGACTGTGTATAATAGTGTTACTTGACAATACCTATGGCATAGACATTTTCTAGATGGTTATTTGCTGGTTGCTAGGGTATGTTGTGTGCTTGCTAGGGTGATGTTAAACAATTGCTAATTTTTTTCAAAGTGGTCGCTAGGGTGTTACGAAGTAGTTGCTATAGTGTTTTGGGTGGTCGTTAGGGTGTTTCTAGGTGGTTTCTATGGTATGCTTGTATCTTATGGTTGCTTAATTTTGCTTAGAAAATCAAACGTGTATATGTAAAGAGGAAATCTGTTTAATTTGGCTGTTCCTTTAATGGTTTAACCGCTGGGCATGTTCACCACCGTCCCTCTGTAGAATTAAATTACTGCTTTGTGCCCTGTGGAGCCACATCCTCTACACAGGCAGGGATAAGCTCCAGGAGGTGAAGGACGATCATCTATGTGGTGGGTGTTATGGTTTGTGCTATCATGTTCTGACCCCTTCGCTCAGTTCTCGGTTAGTTTTACACACAGCAGCAGCGCAGTGGACATTAACTTTTCAGTGACAGCCCAAAGACACAGTGTTTTTCCCCTCATTAACCCAAATGCACGGTTGTTAGCTAACAGCTCAGTATACAGTGTGTCAGGAGTTATTTCCCTGAGTGCATTAGCATGTAAAGTTAATGTGCTAACATGTGTCTTGTGTAGGTCAGTGTGTGTGTCTAAAGGCTTGTGGTCAGGAGCCCTTCAAGAAAAAGAGAGAGGAAGTCATCCTCTCCGTTTGTGGGGTGATTCCTGTTCGGTTGGACGTGATAAGCGGGTGATTTTCCTCCAGGTGCATTGCTGTGGCAGGTGATTTAACATGATGCAACAGCAGGCATCTAGAATGTTGGGAACATACTGTAGCAGTTGCTCTACCAGGCTTGTGATACTGTTATGAATGAAGGAGGGACTTATAAAAACAGTGCAGCTGGAGATGATTACATTTTTCAAAAATGAGTTTTACTTGAGCATGATTCATCATAAACCATTTAAAAGACAAATGTTTTGTTTATCTTCTGTCTAAATGCAATGACTTTTGCTGCCTCTACAATGTCTTCTGATTTTTGATTACGTCACCATGCACCAGCAGGCAGGCAAACATAATACTAACCAATATCGTATTTCACCTCCCCCCTCCCACCCCCACCTATCATAGAGAGAAAACGCTCTGTGTTAAAACATAAACGTCACAGTACAGAAGGCGAATGAGTTATGATTTTATATTCATGCTGACTTTAAAGGGTCGATGTTCAACATTTTGCTTGTATTTTGCTTTTTCTTGTAAGTCCACTTATAATGTTTGTCCCTAGTTTTCTCCCTCCTTTTGTCATGGCCAGTTCCTGTCCTCTAGGTAGGTCTCCCTCTATCACTCAATGCTACCAAGCTAGGAAGGTGAAGGCTAGTGCTTGCTTCCTCTGAGTTACATAAAGCTCCACTGCATCTTTTCAAACTGCTGCTAACACAATGATGTTGGACAGCTCTAAACGCTTGGAGGCGAATGCTGACTGATAATTCTGTTATGTCAGATAACAGGTACCTCTGCAGGCTAGTATTGCGCTGAGTGATGGAGGAGAGGGAGGACCATCCCACCCACATAGAGAAAGAGAGGTTAATAATGCTCTCTTGGATGGCCACAGATGGCCGTGGCATCACCAGGGATTAAACTTGCGATCTCTTGACAATAGGGCCAATGCTAACAGCTGTTTTTATTGCTGTGCCTTTAAGTCTGATATATGTAAACAAGGCTGCTGTGTATTATGTCTTGATCAAAAAGTAGTCCAGGCTAAAATATGCAGAACAGTGTGAAGTTTATCCTGAAATCCTAAGAGAATAAAATTTCTTCCTGACAGCCGAGAACAGCACCACATTTAATCGTTTCCCATCCTCCACTCTGCTACAGACTGACAGATCCGATGGAACAACACTCTGGATTGCTTCAATGGGAATGGGCGGAGCTAAACTGCTGTAGGTTCTATGGGTGGAGCTAATGTGGGCAGGGCCAAATGGGCAGGGCTAAACTGTAGGCTAAATGGGTGAGGCTAAACTGTAGGCTGGATGGACAGGGCTAAACTGTAGGCTAAATGGGTGGGGCTAAACTGTAAGCTGGATGGACAGGGCTAAACTGTAGGCTGAATGGATGGGGCTAAACTATAGGCTGGATGGACAGGGCTAAACTGTAGGCTGGATGGACGGGGCTAAACTGTAAGCTGAATGAGTGGGGCTAAACTGTAGGGTGAATGAGTGGGGCTAAACTGTAGGCTGGATGGATGGGGCTAAACTGTAGGCTGGATGGATGGGGCTAAACTGTAGCTGGAATGGGTGGGGCTAAACTGTAGGGTGAATGAGTGGGGCTAAACTGTAGGCTGGATGGATGGGGCTAAACTGTAGCTGGAATGGGTGGGGCTAAACTGTAGCTGGAATGGGTGGGGCTAAACTGTAGCTGGAATGGGCAGGCTGAATGAGTGGGGCTAAACTGTAGGCTGAATGGGTGGGGCTAAACTGTAGCTGGAATGGGTGGGGCTAAACTGTAGGCTGGATGGACAGGGCTAAACTGTAGGCTGAATGAGTGGGGCTAAACTGTAGGCTAAATGGATGGGGCTAAACTGTAGGCTGGATGGGTGGGGATAAACTATGCTAAATGGGTGGGGCTAAACTGTAGCTGGAATAGGTGGGGCTAAACTGTAGGCTGAATGAGTGGGGCTAAACTGTAGGCTGAATGAGTGGGGCTAAACTGTAGGCTGGATGGGTGGGGATAAACTATGCTAAATGGGTGGGGCTAAACTGTAGCTGGAATAGGTGGGGCTAAACTGTAGGCTGAATGAGTGGGGCTAAACTGTAGGCTGGATGGACGAGGCTAAACTAGAGGCTGGATGGACAGGGCTAAACTGTAGGCTGAATGAGTGGGGCTAAACTGTAGGCTGAATGAGTGGGGCTAAACTGTAGGCTGGATGGACGAGGCTAAACTAGAGGCTGGATGGACAGGGCTAAACTGTAGGCTGAATGAGTGGGGCTAAACTGTAGGCTGGATGGACAGGGCTAAACTGTAGGCTGAATGGGTGGGGCTAAACTGTAAGATGAATGGGTGGGGCTAAACTGTAGGCTAAATGAGTGGGGCTAAGCTGAATGAGTGGGGCTAAACTGTAAGCTGAATGGGTGGGGCTAAACTGTAAGCTGAATGAGTGGGGCTAAACTGTAAGCTGAATGAGTGGGGCTAAACTGTAGGCTAAATGAGTGGGGCTAAACTGTAAGCTGAATGAGTGGGGCTAAACTGTAAGCTGAATGAGTGGGGCTAAACTGTAAGCTGAATGGGTGGGGCTAAACTGTAGGCTGAATGAGTGGGGCTAAACTGTAGACTAAATGAGTGGGGCTAAGCTGAATGAGTGGGGCTAAACTGTAGGCTGAATGAGTGGGGCTAAACTGTAAGATGAATGGGTGGGGCTAAACTGTAGGCTGAATGAGTGGGGCTAAACTGTAAGCTGAATGGGTGGGGCTAAACTGTAGGCTGAATGGGCAGGGCTAAACTGCAGGCTGAATGGGTGGGGCTAAACTGCAGGCTGAATGGGTGGGGCTAAACTGTAGGCTGAATGGGCAGGGCTAAACTGCCTGTTAGTTGTTCATATGTAAATGTTTTCATGGTGATGACATCACAACTGTGATGAATTCAACCACTTTCTGAAAATGTGATGCCAACTTTGAGATGATATTACAGTGATCATGCAGATGATGCTGTGATGATGTCATGCAGATGTCTGAGACGATGACACCTGGACAGCAGGGACAGTCACATTTCTTTTGCATTTTGTCCTCCTGACGGGACTGGAGTGTGAAGCGGAGTGACTGAGCAGTGAGATGTGTGAGTGCTGCAGCAGAGGATGATTGCTGTAATGATCTTAAAGTGCAGTATCGATTGTCTGAATGCTGAGTGCCTCAGGGCCGTTCACATGCAGTATAAATCACATCTCTCTGGATGAAGTGACAGCAGGGCAGTGCAGTGTGATACTGTAGACAATTTACAGCCCATGAAGAGAAGGAGCTGCTGTATTACAGTGATAACTGCATCTGCCTTTAATCCATGATGCCACTTAAACCATCTGAGCATCTCTCTCTCTCTCGCTCACTGTACAACATTTCTGCATTTGCATTTACAATTTATTTACTTTAACTTAGTTTAATATTACTTTATTTATGCTTTATACTATTTTATTACAGTACAATATCTATCTTTCTATCTCTCTCTCTCTCTCTCTCTATATATATATATATATATAGCTAGATTTATTTACTTTAACTTAGTTTAATATTACTTTATTTATGCTTTTATTTTATTTTTATTTATTTTCTATTTTATTACAGTACAATATCTATCTATATCTATATATATATAGCTAGATAGCCAGATAGATAGATAGATAGATAGATAGATAGATAGATCTATCTATCTTTCTGACACACAATGCCTCAGATCAGAGACATATTATTTTATTATAAAACAGATCTTACATCCTGCATAGTCAAATAGTAAACCTCAAATCCCATCCCACTGGTTGGTTTTCCCTTTTTTGACTGGTTGATATCCCATTATGACTGAAGTATTCCATCAAATATCACTTCCTCTGTTTGTAAAGACATGTTTCTCTTTCATAGCTCTAAGTTTTGTACTTTGAGTTTTTCAGTCAGCATGCAGCACCTTTATTAGAGCGCTTTAGTGGGAAAGTTCATAATGTAAATGCAAAAACACCCGAGATGAGTTTCCTTTCCCTGTCCATAGAGTCCTACAGAACAGAGCTGTTTCTCCTGTTTGTATCAGGTGTGTTCTGTTCACGTCTCTCTGTGGGGTTAATGTTGCCCTCCAGGCGGTGCGGATCATGGAGCTGGCGCTGCAGAAGTACGGAAACTACGAGAAGTTTGAACAGGCCACTGGAGGAAACCTGCTGACCAAGAGCCGAATCTGGTCCCACGTCAAGAAGTACATGGAGAAAGAGGGCTGTGTGGGAGAGGTGAGAGAGAGAGAGAGAGATCTGCACACGTTTAAATAGAGCCCAAGAGTTTTTAATTTAGTATCAATGATAATAATAACAATAATAATAATAATAAAATAAAAAGACATTTTTAATGATACAAATATTTTTGGGGTGTCAGAGTAAGGTGCTATATATTTCTTTTTAAATAATAAACATCTGTAATAATAATAATAATAATAATAATAAAACTTTAAAAATAATTGAAACCTTTAAATTTTTTTTAGTAGTATTAGTGGTAGTAGTGTTAGTATTATTTATCATAATACACACACACACACACACACAAGCCGCTTATCCTTCTGGGTCCCTGGGGGAGCTGGAGCCTGTCCCAGCAGACATTGAGCGGAAGGCAGGATACACCCTGGACAGGTCGCCATCATAATAATACACTATATATATATATACATCGCTGTCGTCGGAAGAAAACCTCATATCTCCAAAATGATAACTTTACAGGAAAAGGCAAAAACCTAGTTTACGTTTAATGTAAGTCAATGGAACCAGAATTTTTTCCAAGTGATTTTGGACCATTTCTTTTGGTCCATTCATCATGACATTTACACACAATGTAAAGGGCAACAGGCCTTTTCAAATTATGTCAAAAACTGAAAAATGACTGTATGTATGTATATATATATACACATTTATTTACATCTCCATTCTCTGACTTACTTTATAAAACATAACAAGTGGACTTCAGCTCAGTGTAGGCGTGTGAGATGCTGTTGTCACAGTCTGGCTCTGTAATGTAACGACGTTGGGGAAAGTTGTATGTTGGTGCAGAAAGAACACAGAAGCAGCACTGAAGCTCTTTCTGAACATTCTCAATGTGCGTCTGATTCCTGTGTGTCATTAGGGGTTATGTGAGGTTACAGCAGTGACTCCTCTCATTACTGTCACACAGAGCTGAGGGAAAAGCAAACGCTTGCAGAATGTCATTCTCAGAACCACCAGCAACTATGATTCACTGTTCAGTCACTTCAGTGCATCGTTATGTTACTGTGAAAAACTCTATTACTGTTACTGTGAAATCTCTATAACCTGTACAGAAGTACAGGATCCAGAGTCCAAGGACAAAAGCACATATCAGACAGGCCAGTTTCAATATAGAATCTAGAGAAAGCAGCTTAAGGCTGCATGTGATTGTTTTATATATGATATGACTGGCTAGATAAATAATGCTGAAAAAGATCGTGTTGAATCTTTCCTAAGTATGTTGTATCCCGACATTTTGTTCTGCTGTTATTCCTGTTTGTGAAATTATTAGAGACGACAGAGAAACAGCTATAGATGATTCTAAAGTTCAATAATCAATAAACATTAAATAATGTTAATATCTAAATGAATTTCCAATAAATTCCAATAGTTTTTTAATATCCAGTGAATTTCTAACAAAAGTATAAGCCTTATAATTGAAAAGTGATGATCAAAAATCAAGGCATGTCATCATTTGACAAAAATATTATAAATAATTTGACAAAAATATATATTTAATAAAAATTATATTTATACTGTAAAAAGAAAGAAGGTAGATTTCAAATCAAGTTTTTAAAAATGTGTTTTTTATAACACTGCACTATATTTTGTTACTAACTTCAACTTCTTACTTCAAAATACTATTAATTATTAATATGTTATATATAATCTAAAACTTTGTTCTCTGATTGGCTTTGTTGGGGTGGTCCAGGGGTTGGGGGTGTGTCAGGGTAACTTTCTGGTCGGCCAAATCAAACATCCTCACGGGCCAAATTCAGACAGCCCTGGTTTATGTAATGTTTAATGTATAGCATATAAATAATCAGATTTTTTAATTTAAAATATATTCTGATATTTATATGTACTTTGTATGAGTTGTTTATGTCTATGTGTCAGCAGATTGTGGTGCACCTGACTGATGACCTGTTGTCCAGAGCTTCCATGACTGTAGTGAACGGCAGACCGACACTGACCATCAACATCTCCACAGCCAGAGAGCAGTGGCTCGAGGGCATGCTGAGACACGAGATCGGTGAGTATATTTGTATGTAGTGCTAATATCTACAAAGCATAGGTAGCATCACAAGATGTTTTACAAACACACAAGTTAAACGCTACTGAAAATGAAATTGATAATTGAAAAAAATGAAATGAGAGTGCTTCACTCAGGCACGCACTACTTCCGAGGGATCAATAACAGCCAGCAGCCTTGGAGCAGCGGGGCGGGGCGGAAGAAGCTTGGGCTGCGACCCCTGAACCCCACAGAGGAGGGACTGGCGAGTATCCACAGCGTTCTGTTCCGCAGGGACCCCACGCTGTGGCGGGCCGCGCTGCTCTACTACACTGTCTACCAGGCCAGCCGCATGAGCTTCTCTCAACTGTTCCGCGACCTGGGACGCTTTGTTCATGACCCAAACACGCGTTGGGACTACTGTGTCCGGGCCAAACGGGGCCAGACCGACACCTCACAGCCAGGTAACACAAACACTGCTGTGTTTAGATAGATCTATCTATCTATCTATCCATCTTTCTATCTGTCTATCTATCTATCTATCTATCCATCCATCCCTCCATCCATCTATCTATCTATCTATCTATCTATATGAACATTATCCATATCGCCCCCTACTCTTCCTGCAGTGTATTACAGTCTGTCAGAATATAAAGACACAGACAAACTGCACAAAAACACCACATCAGGTTTTTACAGTGTATCTGAACAGCCAGGACAGGTGTCTTTAGTTTTGCACTGGAGCTACAAAGCCAACAAACATTATAAAGCATTATAAAAACAAGAGTATGAAGACACAAACTTCAGACACCAAACATGTCTTGGCTGGCCGATTGACTACATTCAGGGCTGCCAAGTAGCTGTATGCTGATCCTTCAGTCAGATGATAGAACATTAATACACAGCTAAGATAAACTGTCGCCACACTACGTACTACAACACTGTATTCTGTGATATAATAATATTCACTAAATCTGCACAGCAGTGTTGGTGTTGCATCAGCTTATTTAAAATGCTTTGTCTGGTCTGCAGGCTGTTTCAGTAAAGACCAGGTTTATCTGGATGGAATTCTGAAGATCCTCAGACACAGAGAGAAGATCGACTTTCAGCTCCTCACTGCACTGGGCAAGGTCAGTCTGGCATGTTCGTCAATTATTACACATTCATTATTCATCATATGCACAAAACACATATAATTACAAATGTAATATATATTGTATATTATTGATATTATGACAAAACCTACATGTATGGTATGTATACACTTATTACATAATGCAATGGGCAGTGCTGTCGCCTCACGGCAAGAAGGGCATGGGATCGATTCCCAGCCGGGCGACCGGGGTCCTTTCTGTGTGGAGTTTGCATGTTCTCCCCGTGTCTGCGTGGGTTTCCTCCGGGTACTCCAGTTTCCTCCCACAGTCCAAAGACATGCAGTCAGGCTAATTGGACACGCTAAATTGCCCCTAGGTGTGAGTGTGTGTGTGAATGTGTATGTCTGTCTGTCTGCCCTGTGATGGACTGGCGACTTGTCCAGGGTGTAACCAATGACCGCTGGAATAGGCTCCAGCACCCCACCATGAACCACAAGGATGAGCGGTTTAGAAAATGTGTGAGTGTGTGTATTATCCATTATTTTTAATTGCACTCTTTATTAAAGGGCCCATATCATGGAAAACTGAGTTTTTTCTCCCTTTTTAAAAATAAAACAGTTGAAGTTTAAGGTTACAAAATGTACAATTCATATATGGAAACTAAACTGCAAAAACAGCCCATTGTAAGGGGACAGAATGAATCAGATGCATGCGGATTGTAAAAAATGAAGAGGCTTTACTAGTTTTAGGAAGTTCCGAAGTTGTTGTCAAAAAACAGGCCAAGGTCAGTTCCAAAACAGTCCCAAACCAGGAAAACACCGTCTTAACAAAGTCAAAGGGATAAGGCGGAAAGGCAGAGTCATAACAAATGTGATTATTATCCAAGGGGTTCTGGGAATTGGAGTCCCTGCTGAAGGGGTGCGTGACACCCAATTTGAAATTATTCAGATGTGATGTCACAAAACCCAACCTAATATTTTTCTGACTATTCTTCCTACAGCAGTTTTCTTTTTTTTTTTATATATATATTTTTTTATATATATATGTATATATATATAAAGAAGAAAAGAGAAATATATATACCCATATACACAATGTACACTAGTATTGTTTCCAATGTACAGTTGTACAGTAATAAGTTATGAAATAAAACTATGATATGTACTGTTGTACACATTTCCATATGTGCAGTTAGTGGGTCTGAGGTATATAAATAAATGAGATGCAGGTACACGGGGGATAGAATATTGTTATAGAAATCTTCCAGATTATACAAGATATGGATAGAAGATCTCAATCAATAGATGTCAATCTATATGTGCATAGATTGCTAGATTGAAGTAACATTAAGATCAGAGTAAGTCTGTTGAGGTGCAGTGTGGATTGTCCATGGAGATCATCATGATGATGATTCAGAGGTTTAGTGACAGGCCAGTATCAGTCTTAAAGACACAGTAACAGAAACAGCCTGTTTAATTCCAAGAGATAAAGAGAGGTTGGAAAATGGTCATGTAGAAATGAATAGTTACTGTTTTTGGTACGTTAACCCACACAGATATTATAAGTAGACTTCAGATGAAAAATAAAATTGCAGAAAAATATATGATGTGGGCCCTTTAAGTTTGCTGATTTCATCAGTTAATCATATCGGAGGCATGCGTTAAACACGGAGACAGGAACATCGATTTGAGTAAGTCTTTGTAATCCAGATTTATCTTGCCACAGTTTGTCATTTCTAAACGCAGACAGGCCCTCTGTATGTATCCAGCCCAGCTAGCTGAGTGATTTTCCACTCTAGAAAAGACTGGAGAGAACCCAGAAGTGCTCATTTGCATGTGAAATGGAGTGAGCGTGACTGTGCTGAAGGCTAATTGCACAGATGGTGTTGTTGGAAAGACATGCTATGGAGCACACAATGAGGAACATTAGGGGCGTTTTGAGGGAGCTGAGTGATTCCACTGTTATTAGAAAGGTCGAGAAGAAAAGCCTATTCAGACTGACTCAGATCTTTTCTTTCTTTTACCTATACTGCACCATCAGTTACTCAGAATTTATCTACACTATCTGGCCACTTCAGTACACTTTGTATCTGCGCTCTGTCCGTTTAATCAGCTCCACTTACCGTATAGGAGCACTTTGTACTTCTACAATTACAAAAAATTAAATAAAATACAAGAAAAAATGTAGGATAAGGTCCGAATAAAGCTTTCATCTTTGAGAGGGAGGTGAAAATCAAGCTGCTTCAGATCTGAAAACATCCACAGGTGTTTCTGTCCATCCTTCCACTGTGAGAAGACGACTCAGCGCTGTGGGTCTGATAGGATGTGTAGCTGTCAAGAAGAACCTCACTGAGAAAAGGAGACGGACACATCAAACAAAGAAGCTGAACAATGGACTGACCATCCCAGAGTCCAGACCTCAACACCACTGAATATGTTTGATTACTTCAGAAAATGATCAACCAGCTTCTAAGACTGAACTTTGGAGGTGTGTCTGCAGATTCTTTGAGAAACTGAAAGTGAGTCTCCTGAAAAGAATGGAAGCTGGAATAGAGATGAAGACTGAACACATGAAGTACTAAAAAATTTATATAATTTTCTGTGAAATATGTTTTCTGCTTTTTTCTTGAAGCTAAAAAATGAATAACAACATTTTTTTTCTGGATATTAAATAAACGTGGGATGGTCTCTGATTTTTGCACAGTACTGTATATTAAATACAGAGGGGGCATTTGTAAAACTCCATGTGCTGAAACTGTATAAAGCTGTGTGTTTGTGTTTGTGCAGGTGTCCTATGAGGATGTAGAGAGGCTGAAGGGTTTGGCCGTGATGGAGCACGTGCGGATCCCTCACTTCCTGCAGGATCAGAGCCGTTACTCGGAGCAGCTGCGGAAGATCATGGAGGTCAACCAGCTGACGGACGAGGAGCTCCGCACACTCATCTGAGCTCACATACAAACCTGCCCGATCACTACAAGCGCACAGGTGTCCTATTGTGGCAAACCCTGCATCTCTCAGCCTCCACCCAGCCTGCGAGTGACGCACCTTTAACCCAAGTGTACTTTTTATCTACCCAATTTTTGTCCAAAGATAAATACGTAGGTCATTTCTGTAGTTTACTGTCTTTGATGCTTTCACTGTTCAGGGAGGACTTTCAGATGTGAAGGTGAAGAAAAGCAAAACGCAGCACAGTGCCACCTGCCTGCCATGCACAGTAATACATTTTGTATTCACTTCAGTAGATCTGAACAGGCAGGAGGTAGAACAAGTGCCAATATGCCACTCATGTTCATGCCTGTCTGTACTACATACCTGTATGAATCCCATGCTGTGCTAGTGTTTAAAAAGACAGTGCAAAGTAAAGATCCACTCCCCCTCATAGAGGAATCCCACCGATTTTTCGAACTTTCTGTATAATTAAATGGTTACGATGTAAACAAAGTCATTCAGAGTGGTTTGTTGTGAAAGTTCTACAGAAACGTACCGAGTCAGAAATGCTCACAGTGGTGGTGATAGGAACCAGAATGTCTGAAGAATTTATTTAAACCGCACAGAAAGTTATTATAAGAAATGAATACCAACACACTGCCTGGTGCCTGACATTGTTTTACAATCATTTTGTGATAAACCTTTGGTATAAAACATTTTTTAAATACATTCATGGTGGAGGGGTACATGCCGGGTGTTATAAGGAAAAATAGTTTCCAATGAAAACTTTAGATTTATCACTGTTTTACCATCATAAACATTTACATCTAGAGACTCAGAAGACACATGTAGGTTCACTGGTGGTCAGTAAATAAAATAGCTATACATGTAAACATTGTGATAGCGCTCCTATCAACACCACTGTAAAGAAATCGATAAGTAAAACTTAAGTCTGTAAGTTTGTCTACAGTGAATCATTTCACATCAAACCGTCTGACTTCTCAACCACTGAATTATGCAGAAATGAACAAAAATCGGAGGAATTATCCTTTAACAACAAAACGCAGATGATCAGCCAAGACATTTGGCGTCTGCATTTAGCTTCTGTAGCTTTGTGCTAAGGCTAAGAGGCTAATGTAGCTAACAAGTAATGGAAGCTAATGTATACAAGTTCAGCTTTTGAGTTGACTGCTGTTACTGTGTGACATGCTTTTCTCTATTTATATATATATATATATATATGTGTATGTGTGTATGTATGTATATCGCTGTGGTCAGAACAAAACCTCGTATCTCCAAAATGGTAACTTTACAGGAGAAGGAAAGAACATGCTTTACTTATAATGTAAGTCAATGGAACCTGAATTTTTTCCAAGTCATTTCTGGCCATTTCCATTGGTCCATTCATCATGACATGTACACACAATGTTAAGGCCAACAGACATTTTCAAATGATGTCAAAAAAAAAAAGTTAAAAATAGAGATACAAGGTTTTATTCTGACAGCAGCGATATATATTTTCAATAGTTCTGTTTGCATATGATGCATATCAGTAAACATAAAAGATAAACAGATTAGGCTAACATAAGCTTGTTTTATTCCAGAAGTCAGGCACATTGGTGATAAATTAAGTGGATTATCAGGAGGAGTGTGTTTTGTTTCTAGAGGCAATAATATTTCTTTTTTTATTGTAAAGCCCACTATGGACCACTGGCCCCGCTCAGTATTGGCCCGAGAACCACCGATGGGTGCTTTGCGGCCCACCTGTGGTCTGCGGCCCAGTGGTTGAGAAACCTTGTCATACAGTGTCATAAACCACCATAATCAAGTCTATTAGAGATTACTGAACAACTCCACACGGTTTGAGGTGAGTATATGATCATTCAGGCATGCAGTTAGCACCATGCTAATTTACTGGGGTGTAGGTTTCCATTATTTGTTAGCTATGTTAGCCTAATAGCTCCAGTGAGGAACAAAAGAAGCTTCAGACATCAAACATATCTTGGCTGATCGACATTTGGTTTGTGTCATTATTTAGAGATGCAGTTTGAAGCTAACGGACATGTTAGCAACATTAGCCTCCATAGCTAACATAGCCTTGATTTTTCATCAAAATGTTATTTCAGGAGAAGAATAAATCTGAATTTGTTGTGATGCGAAGAGGCTGATGAGGACCAAGTTATGAACCAGTGTCCAGTTTAGAAGTTCTTTTGGTTTTGATTCGTGTGGTGTTTGCGCAGGTTTGCATATTCAGGAGAGCTGAGTACCGGACTGAAGCACTTCTAGATGAATGTTGGTGTCTGTAGCTCAGTAAAAAAGCACACTCAGATTTTCACCAGCATGCCTGCTGAGTCCCTACTTGCACTCTTTCGACCTTGACGCTGCTCTGTTCCTGACTTTTCTTGTAGGCGGAGATTTCCACAATTTAGCAAATAGTATTTTGTATGTTAGATGTGATAATCTTTGATGAACAGTTGTTTACAGATGTAAATTATAAATGTTCTTTACAGAGAACTGAGCACCCTGACGGTGTTATTTTCACTGAACATGTGGAGATTTTCTTTCAGTAGGACTACACTCTATGGACACTGAGGAGGACAAAATAATACACTGTCCAACTGTTGACTTGCTGTGTTCTGGTATTCTTGGACTTAGTGTTAAATCCTAATAAACTGACATACCCAATCGTCTCTAAAGCCTGTTTCTTTGCACTGGTCTTAGGTATGTTGAAGGAGACAACCTGCACCCCATGTGTCAGACACAGTCCTATCCGGCCCATGAAATTATTTAAATTTTCTATTCTTATTAGCCCGTTTTATCCTGAGATGCACTAAACTGAGGTTAATTAGGTAGATATATTTAAATGTGTTGGTTTTTAAATGGAACTCTAGTAAAGAGAATGCAGTTCCACTGTTCCACAGCCCAGTACTGGAGCGCTTTATACCCTTCTAGCTGAAGCTAACTGGTGTACATTGGCATTGTGCATGGTGACTTTTGGCTCATATGTGACTGCTCCATTGACCGTTCTATTGGTCAGTGCTTTTCTATGGAGATTATACATATACTGAACTTCTGTGTCAGAAATAGGTGACCTTAAAGTAGCTGCATTCACTCATTAGAAGGACTGTCTGGATGCTTTTGGACACATAGGGCTAATTTCATAAAGGCAGATTTAGCCTTGGTCTAAACTGAAAATGATTTGTGAAAGTGAAGCAATGGTTGCAGTTTAGCTCAGGACTCAGCTTAATGTTTTGTAGTCATTGTTGGAATATACTGTGTGTGCTTACTGACCACTGTGATTTTTAGAGCCACATATTAGCAGAGTACAGTACTACTTGTAGAGAGTCGGGTAAAAAGGATCTAGGTTAGTTTACTGTCTCTCATTTTGCTACACAAGTAGCACGAGTAAATAAACATACAACACTGGCCTTAGACTGTAAGAGGGGATGGATTACTGACAGGGCCAATGAGGCCAGTGCCCAGCCTCTGACTGCCAGGGGCCTCAGGAAGCCTCGGACCAAAAGCTCCTAGAAAGCTCAAACACTCAGGACCACCACAAATAAGTGGCCCTTGAACGTACAAATGGCTGAATACATGAAATATAAGAAGAGTTTCATTCCAAAATAAAACAAAGATGCAGCTCACAAGACCATGATCTGTCCCTGACTGTACGCAATGTAATATACCATATACATATCGCTGTTTTTGGAAGAAAACCTTGTATCTTTATTTTTGTTGTTTTTCAGTTTTTGACATAATTTGAAAATACCTGTTGCCCTTTACATTGTGAATGAATTTCATGATGAATGGACCAAAAGAAACGGCTCAAAATTACTTGGAAAAAACTATGATTCCATTGACTTACATTGAAAGTAAAGTAGGTTTTTTTCCTGCTCCTGTAAAGTTACCATTTTGTAGATACGAGGTTTTCTTCCTACAACAGCGATATACATAAAATAACTATATCTTTCTTACTTTTCTCTACATCTAACTCTAAGCATAACCTCAGGAACTAAAAGCGATGGTTTAGCTCGTTCAGTGTTAGCATTCATTAGTCTGATTTCTTTTTTTCTGACAAATGATAATGTCAGTGTGAGAAGACTCATTTGCAGCTGCAGTAATACTGCACAGCCACTGAGGGGCGCACTCAGTCCAGTGTCCAGTGTACAGCTGAGTGAGGGGTTTACAAGCAGCTCGGCTGACACTGTAAAGAGTTCACGTCAGACACGCTGAGTGTAAAAACAAAGACAAAACCTCAATGTTGTCCAAACTGAGGACGATGTAATTCATTTCGATCTAGCTTTTCATGAAACTACAGGCAATATATCATAAATCATCAGTCCTTGAGTCCATTATTCAGCTGGAGTTGCTATATGGAGCCCCTTTTATTCAGTTTTATAAATAACAGTGTGTCGTACTGGATCAAAAACCACATAAGCAACTCTGTTAGAGTTTACTCAAACGTTGAGCCTCCATTACTTGTTAGCTACATTAGCTAGAACAGAACTAAAGAAGCAAACTTTAGACACCGAACATGTCTTCGGTCTTTATGCCATCTTTTGCATTTCAGCCTAACATAACAAATAACGGCATCGGAAACAGATTCTCTGCATCACTAAACCCCTTACCGGCTGCTTACGGACATCAGGTGATCAGCCATATCTGGGGTCCAGTCTCAAAAAATAAAAGTGCCAAAAAAAAAGTTATTTGGAGTGAGCATTTTTGGCCTTATAGTATCGTTCAATGGAAGGTTCTTATATAAAAAAATAATATATTGCTGTGTTGTTGTTAGTGTCAGGATGACTGGAGGCAGCACTGGGGCACTTAGTGTTCAATGGATCGCACTGACCCTGATGTCACACACAGACATATGTGTGTGTGTGTATATATATATATATATATATATATATATATATATATATATATATATACAAACATATAAATGTACACACACAATTTTAGGATGCCTCTTTTGCCACAAGTCATTTGGTGAGTAAGTGCTATTTACTGTGGAATGGAAGCACCTAGGAGCAACAACAGCTCAGCCATGAAGCGGTAAACCATGCAAACTCACAGAGTGGGGCCGCCAAGTGTAATTGCCTATCCTGTTACATCACTCACTAGACTGTGTCTCAGGAGCTTCATGAAATGGGTATTCGTGGCCGAGCAGCTGCACCCAAGCCTAAGATCCCTAAATGCAATGCCAGGTGTCGGCTGGAGTGGTATAAAGCACACCGTCACTGGACTCTGGAGCAGTGGAAACGTGATCTCTGGAGTGATGAATCAAGCTTCACTGTCTGGCACTCTGGTAGATGAATCTGGGTTTGGTGGATGTCAGGAGAAAGTTACCTACTGGAACGGATAGTGCCAACAGTAGAGTTTGGTGGAGGAGGGATGATGGGCTGGGGCTGTTTTTCAGTGTTTGGGCCCCTTAGTTCCAGTGAAGGGTGATGTTAAAGCTACAGCACACAAAGACATTATACACAATTATATGCTTCCAGCTTTGTGGCAGCAGTTTGGGGAAGGCCTTTTTCTGTTGTGGTCTGTACTGTGGTCTGCACAGAGCCCTGACCTCAACCCCACTGAACACATATATATATATATATATACACACACAAACACACACACACCAGTATATACTGGGTTTTTTGGTTTTAGCACTGACGCTAAGTGGCTAATGTAGCTAACAAATAATGGAGGCTTATATTGATAACTGCATAAATAATCACCACACCTCAAACCTTGTGGAATTGTCCAGTAATCCTTAATAAACGTGTTTTTTTTTCACTGTATGACTCAGTTATCTCTGTACACGGACTAAAGTACATTAGCGTAGCTAAAACCGGTAGTAGGAGCTGAAAGCCAGCACTGTGAAAATGAGGTCTTTCAGATCATTGACATCACTGAAAACATGATTACAGTTTTTTTTCCCCAAGACAATTAAAATCACACCCAAAATTAAAAGGGGTACCTGTATACTGTACTTCTAACCAGGCTTTCTGTGGGTTTAACGAGATACAGATATTGATTAAATCTTCTCTTTTGACTTTAACTCAAGTTCCCAGGCTTATTATTTAGTAGCTACATAGAAAACAAGTTATTCTCAAGCTGAGCGAGTGAGGTGTAGAAGTCTGGATCAGCTGGTGAGTCCTGAGTGTTTATTAAACCAGTGCAAACAGCTTCATCCACCCAAACTCCTCTCACTCAAAATAGGATCACGGTATGAACAGTAAGCACCTTCTTTCTCAAGGTTTACAACCAAAACACAATAAAGCCTCTCACTGTCCAAAGAGAAGTGAAAAAATACAGTTCCTTATACACACATTCATAATTCTGTTTAAAGACAAACGGAATTTCCCTCCAAACTGAAAGCCGTTTCAAATTGAGCTACTAACGTATGCTATTCACTATTTGCTGCACCTTCCTGCACAGTGCAGCACACAGTATATGTAAGCATAAATAGTATATGCTAGGTATGCAGTACAGTAGTACAGTGCATGTTATGTGTATAGTATAACACTGCATAGTGTTAGATACACTATAATAGTTAATAGTAAATGTTAGGTATACAGTATAAAAGTAAATTGTGTTATAGTGTAACTAAACAGTGCACACTAGATATGCAGTCTAATAGTATACACTGATCAGGCATAACATTATGATTATTTCTACGCTCATTGTCCATTTTATCAGCTCCACTTACTATATAGGTGCACTTTGTAGTTCTACAGTTACAGACTGTAGTCCATCTGTTTCTCTGCATACTTTGTTAGCCCCCTTTTACCCTGTTCTTCAGTGTTAAGGACCCCCATGGACCCTCACAGAGCAGGTACTATTTGGGTGGTGGATCATTCTCAGCACTGCAGTAACACTGACGTGGTGGTGTGTTAGTGTGTGTTGCGCTGGTCTGAGTGGATCAGACACAGCAGTGCTGCTGGAGTTTTTAAACACCTCAGTGTCACTGCTGGACTGAGAATAGTCCACCAATCAAAAATATCCAGCCAACAGGGTCCTGTGGGCAGCGTCCTGTGACCAATGATGAAGGACTAGAGGATGACCAACACAAACTGTGCAGCAGCAGATGAGCTATAGTCTCTGACTTTACATCTACAAGGTGGACTGACAAGGTAGGAGTGTCTAATAGAGTGGACAGTGAGTGGACACAGTGTTTAAAAACTCCAGCAGCACTGCTGTGTTTCATCCACTCATACCAGCACAACACACACCACGTCAGTGTTACTGCAGTGCTGAGAATGATCCACCACTCAAATAGTACTCTGCTCTGTGAGGGTCCATGAGGGTCCTGACCACTGAAGAACAGGATAAAAGGGGGCTAACAAAGTATCAGAGAAACAGATGGACTACAGTCTGTAACTGTAGAACTACAAAGTGCACCTATATAGTAAGTGGAGCTGATAAAATGGACAATGAGCGTAGAAACAAGGAGGTGGTCAGAATGTTATGCCTGATCGGTGTATATTGATCCGTTCATCATGCAATTTTGGCAGTTGGCATTGTCAAATTATGTGAGAAAATTAAAAATGATAAAAGTGAAGAAAGGTTTTGCTCTGATACCACAATACATTTAGTATATAGTACAATAATAACAACAAACAGTCTATGTTAGAAATAAACAGTACATGTCAGATATATAATGTAGTTGTAGATAGTTTACATTAAGTTTATAATGTAATAGCAAACAGTAAGCATTATGCTTTGTAGGCCTTGTCTGGTGAGAGAAGGTCACTTCTGTTGTATCAAAACATTTCCCATCAATAAAACGCAGCAGTTTTTTTTTTAAAACCAGGTGAATATCTCAGTATTGCTTTATTTCACATACTTTATTAAAACGTTTTTTGGCACATGTTTAATTTGACACATTACCCACACATAAATCTCTCATTTACTTAAATATCTGATTTAATATAATTTATCTATATTTAAAAAGATTTCTTAGTGCTACATAATTTCTACCATACAACAGCTGTAAAAGAAGCAGTCTCTGTGCATTTGTCTCTCTCTTTCATCACATTTTCAGTCCTTAAGTGATGTCACTGTGACCCTGCAGCAGGTCATCCTCAGTCAAGCTGCCACGACCCTGTCTATAAAGGACAAAGGTCACCGCTCGTGTTTGGGCATGATATCATCCCTCTCCAGCACAGCTACGCTGCTGCCATTTTGAAGTGGCTCCTTCATGACCACGTCCAGGTAAAACTCAGCCATGACCGGGCAGTGCTCTGAAGCCACACCTCCCCATGACCAATTATCAGGGATCCAGGGGTTAGTCAGACCTTCCCTGACCACAGAGCAGTGACCTGCAGGGGACAGAACACATAAATAAGGCGTCAAACACGACAAACGGTGTGTTCAAGTGGTTTCCATAAACCTGTTCATATTTACCACCAGGGAATTACACACGTTGCAGATTCATACTGGGTTAATAGCACTCCACAATTATTACTGTACTCCACAATTATTACTGTAAAACTACACACACTGCAGATTCATACTGGATTAAAATCACTCCACAATTATTACTGTCAGACTGTAAAACTACACACACTGCAGATTCATACCGGATCAAAGATCTTGGTGGTACATATTTAAATGATAGACAACCCAGTGTAAAACCAGCTCAATAAGGCTAACAAAGTTAATTCAAGTGTTCAAACTGTTACCAAAGTTTTTGAGCTGGGGTGTTTCACCTTCCAGCACATACAGGTGTATGCAAAAGTTTGGGCACCCCTGGTCAAATGACATTTTGCTGATTTTCTAAGTGTAAATGAGTTACACACCCTCTACAGACAACACACTTCTGCACATTTTAATACACAAAAACTGTGTATTTGCTGAATTTAGCTAAATAAGTAAGTAAGTAAGTAAGTAAGTAAATGAGTAAGTAACTAACTAAGTAATTAAGTAAATAACCATGTATAAAATGTGGCCTGTTCAAAAGTATGTGCACACGCACGTACCGGTGTAGATCTTCTTCATGGTGCGGCTGGCCCAGATGTTGTCAAGCGCGGAGGAGCCCTGTGGTGATTTAGTGCTGATGTTAGTGTAGATGGACGGGGGCAGCAGAGCAGTGAGTTTTTCCTTCCTCAGGCTGTCCAGTTCAGTGCTGTCTGGGGGCAGACCGAAACCACCCAACACCAGAACATCCTTCATCCCTACAGCCGGAGAGAAACGACAACTTAAAGCCAAACGTTATACAGAATGAAGCTGTAGCACAGGCCTGATGGAACTTTGCTTGGGCCACAAAACACTAATTCTGAATCAGAATCTTTATATACTATACGATGTTTTTCAATATCACTCTAAAATTGTTGAAATCAAACCATATATAAATGAGGTATTTTAAGGTATTTTTGGGGACATCATGATGCCGTTCAGTTCTTTAATCCAGTAAAAGCAGCAAAGGCTTGAACAGCTGATTCAGTACACTAGGTAGTGATTTTGAGGGGAGGAAGATGTCTAGCCATTCACTCACAGCAGCACTTAAAAAATGTGAACCATTTTCAAATCATAAAATGTTGAAATTATGGGGATTTTTGAGTTTGAGGAAACAGTTTCAGAACAATAGCCTGTTCGAAAAGTGTCCACCTGATTAAACCTCCAGTGTCAAGGTGACACTGAAGGCATGAAGGGGATCTGATGACCTGCTAAACAAACATGCTGAATGTAATTCTTCTGGGTTTGCTCGTGCTGCACTGTGCTCCAGTACTGCCTATCTAAATCACACTGCTGCCTCATCAGCACAAAGGGCTTCTTTACAGATAGCAGGGCAGCTGAACCCCACTGACACGTAGCCGATAGCACACGGCCATAACCCTTCATCAGAGCCGCAATAAACCTGCCCAGAGGACAAATGAATCTGTGATTTGATTTTGAAGCATTGGGAAATGATTCAGCACAATTACAACCAAAGACAAAACACACAGGAACAGCTTCCCCCACCCCATTCAAATTTTCCTGTTCCACCTTAAATGGCGCAGCAGTTGCATTCTGGCGCCTCAGACACCATTTAAGGTGGAACGGGAAAATTTGAACAAAAAGCTGGCGAATGAGAAGCGACTTGAGAATGAGAAGCCGAATGCTGAGAGGCGTTTTACAAGAAACTGTTCTACTTTTGAGTAAAAGTTTCCTGCCAGAGATGCGAGAAAAGCAACTATAGCTGAGCTAAAGCTCAAAGCAGAGCAAAGTAAATCAGCGTTTTTTTATTTATATTTTTTATCCTATACTAGTACATCAGTGCACACAGACATATTTACAGCCAAGATGGTAAAATGGACATAAAAACACTCTCAGCCTGTTCTGTTCTTTTTCTTTCGCTGTCTGCTCACAGAAGTACGACACTATAAGTGAACTGCTGCCCTCTTCAGGTTAAGTCTTTAACTCACTCTAGGTTCAATGTCACTTTTAATAAAAAATGTAATAAAAGTTTTTAATATATATCTTTTTATTTTAATAAAAAAATTGATTATGGAAATATTTGTAGATGATTTTATTGTTTACAATATTGATAATGCCGAATACTCTTATTTTTATACAATTGCTTTCTGCTTTCTATTCCTTCTAACTCCGCTATTGTAAGGTCCTCCAATGCTGACAGAGGAGTTCAGCTTGAATAATATCCATCGAACCAATAGAATGGGACACTCTGGAGTAGCCGCATAAGGTCACCACGCAAAACGCCAAGCATCAACTAGAGGGGTATAAATCCCCCCAGCGCTGGACTAAGGCACTGCAAAAAATAATTTACTTTAAAAAAACAAGTAATCTGGCTATCTTGAAATGTGTTATTTTACAGAATGTATAATGATACAAAAGAATAAAAAAAAAATTATTGTTCTGTTAATTTACATTGAAAATGATATACAATTTCATCAGAAGTCAGCAAATGTAGTGTGGTATGCTTACCCAGGCAGGGAAATCAAAGCCCAGTCTACAGAATTACCCACTACGCTAAACCAACTATTAGAGGAGGAATAACCTCAAGGCAGCCAAGTCAAAACAACAAATCTCTTTTACAGTGTTTAATGACTGAGCTCCACCACTGGGATGAGTTTGAGCGGTGTTTGTAATCCAGAACTAATTATCCAACAGTAATTGGCTAATAAATTAATCTGACCTTTGGACTGACCTCTCAGTGTGTCCTGCACTGCGGTGCTCAGTCTGTGGTTTTTCGGCCTGTCGGAGCAGTGCTTCCGTCCATTCTGCTCCTTTGGCAATGCAGGTGTTTTCAGGTGAACGTTCACCAAGGTGAGTTCCGATGATCCAATCTGGTTTTGGAGGCAAACAGGAGAGAGATAACAGTGTGAGCATCTAGCTGTTTTATCCAATCACTCACCCACTGTTGTGGAGATATAGAGGCAATATAATATTAATAATGACTGTTTTGCTGATAGTTTGTTGTTGTGATGATGCTTTTCTGAGTGTATCGTGAATATCGCCCATACTGTCACAAAGCTGACCAACCACGTTTCGGTGCAAAAAGACTGCAATTGGTCCTGTCTAATTGGATTTAGTGCAGTGCAGTTTGGGAGATAAAGTCATTGCATCCAGAGTTTTGATGGCAGTTTCTAAATGTGGCACTTCTAGTGAAATATATATCTGTCATTATATCTGTCAAAATATCATAATACATATTGTGTATTGTGAAAATGCTGCATTGTGATCTGACATTTTGCCATTTCTCCCACCCTTACATTGTAGTTTACCCAGCAGACCTCTGAAGTCGAGTAGCATTTTACAGTTGGTCTTCAAGTTCAGGTTCAAGAGGCTTTATTGTCATTTACTATATATACAAACATATATGCAATATACACAGTGCAGACAATACAGTGCAATGAATACAAAAGACAATACATACAAAAAATAGAACACAGACAGTACAAGATACTGAGAGTATGCAGAAGCAGGATGTGACATGCTATGACATATTAGCAGCTAGCCTAGCATATATGAGCATAGCGGTCACTGAGGTAGCAACTAGCAGCCGATATTGTTGAAATAAAATGTGCAAAAAAATACAAATAAAAATAGGCATCACAATAATATGTCATGCCCATATTAGGAACTCCAGCTGTAATCAGGTTTTCTTAATGGTAGAAATGAATGGAGCATCTGAAAATCTCTGAATCGCATCCTGTGGTTAACAAAACCGTACATTTTTCTTTGAATTACGAGGCGGAAACATAAATAATGCTGCATTCATGCTACTACTGAGCTAACATGGTGTTTGTAGGCATGAAAGTAAGCCTACAAACACCAGCTACTCAAACTGCAGCCTAAAACTGCCAAAGCAGCTTATCTGCCACATTTAACAAAGCTTGCTGGTTTGTGAGAGATATTTTGGCTGAATGATGTCAGTTCAATGTGCAGCAATGTTAGCTCACATGTCACAATGTTCACATTTAACTCCTTAACGATCTCGTAATTCAGAGAATCCAGTGACATTCAGGAGAAAAGCGTAAATACAGGAAAATGTATTGTTTTTAGTTGTTTTCAATTCCTCTAGTTAGGACTCCCCCAATCACATGATACTACCAGCGCTAGGAGGGTGAAGGCTTCCTCCAAGACCTGTGAAGATCCACAACACCTTTTCGAACTGCAGCTCACACAACGTCACTGGACAGCCGAACGCGCTCAGAGGAAGGCGCTAACAGTCAGTTAACAGACGCTTGCGCTGACTACTATCGTGCAGAGTGATGGGGGGAGAAGGAGGGCCATCCTACCCAGCCAGAGAGTGTGAGGCCAATAGTGCTCTCTTGGTCTACCGGCCAGATGGCTGTAGCATCATGGATTGAACTTGTGATCTCCTGATTATAGAGCCAACGCTTAGACAGTTGCGCCACTCGGGAGCCCCACAATGTAGTGACTTTACAACATTTCCGATTACCACAGGACGCAAGAGCAGCAATTTTAGGAAAAATCCATTCAAATCTCCCATAGAGAAAAACACTTAAGATCCGGAGCTCCTAATATGGGTGTGATGCCCACTGCAGAATGATGACACGTCCTCATTGGTCTATTCGTAGAAAGATTACACCGAGCTGATAAGACATGGCCAGGTTTAGTGCTGATCTGTTATGTAACAGTGATTGCAAAAGTGGATTATTTTTATTGTTATTGCTTTGATTTGTTGTATTTTGTTGCTTACCATCACTTGGCTGTTCTAATATTATCAGACAAATTAAACTACTTATCTAATTAAACTAATCTTAATTGCTAAGACAGTTATATAACAAAGAATTGCACTGGATTCCATATCAAGATTTATGTGCCCTGTAATTATATCATGGGACTCCTATAATAATCAACTGTCTTGAGTAAAAAAAACACATCAGAAGCAGAACACCGTCTCCTCTGACGAAAGCTGTTGGTACTTACGCAAAAGCGGGCGAGGAACAGTTTAGGCTGCCCGTGGTTTCCGTTGCCGTTAGCAGCGGCGCTGTCCAGCACCACAGCTTCCTTCAGCTCAATTCCAGCTGAGGAGTCCCAGAGAAAACCGGAATATTCTGAACCCTATGCAAAAACAACATAACTACATTAGCACAGGTTATTCAGTAACACAAGTCTCAATACAAATGAACAAAGCCTGCTTCAATTTATGGATATTTCTAAAATATATCATCAGTACTGTACAATAAAATAAAGTTATATTATTTCAGCAGCTCGCACCATGCTTCATGTATACATATATTTTTCACGTTCACATCTGCCGATGCTAAAACATAAACATTTATAAAATGTAGAAAATGGGACTAAATCTACCTGGATTAGATTTATAGTGATAGATAATGTGGATTTGTTGGGTCTGATATGGATATAATATAGTGCTATTGGCTATAACACTGCAGGAGTGTTGTGCCATTGTCTTCTCTGTACCTACAGCTGAAAATTAGGGTGATTAAACTACCGAGATATTTCATCAAAGGGCACATAGCCTACATTTTTCTTGCATTTTATTTTTTGTTCACTTCCATTTAGGACATTTGCATAGATTTTTCTTTTAATTCATGTGTAAATGACCATTTTCCAACCTCTCTTTATCCCTATTAATCAGACTGCTTTTGTTACTGTGTCTTTAAGACAGATATATGCACACAAGCTCTGTTCTGATTGGCCATCCTGCATTGTGCTTCAATCAAAAAGCAGTCCATTTCATATAACTTCAGTACGAGGGGGCAGGGCTAAACTACAAATTCAAATCGGGCAGTTTTTGCAATGTAGTTTCCATTTATGGACAGTATGGACAGTATGGGGAGGGAATGGTATGTTTTACATATTGCATTAAGCTCTTCTATTTAAAGGGGAGAATGAAGGTTTTCCATGCTACGGACCCCTTAATGTGCACTGCCCTTTTAAAACTAATGTAATGTAATAATATTTTGTTGCTTACCATCACTTGGCTGTTCTAATATTATCAGACAAATTAAACTACTTATCTAATTAAACTAATCTTAATTGCTAAGACAGTTATATAACAAAGAATTGTACTGGATTCCATATCAAGATTTATGTGCCCTGTAATTATATCACGGGACTCCTATAATAATCAACTATCTTCAGTAAAAAAAAGCACATGGGGAGGGAATGATATGTTTTACATACTGCATTAAACTCTTCTATTTAAAAGGGAAAAATGAAGGTTTTCCATGTTATGGCCCCCTTAATGTGCACTGGCCTTTTATTTTGTAATAATGTAATATATGTATAATGTAATAACGTAAAATAATGTAACGTAAAACCTTGTATTGCTGAAACAGTAACTTCAGAGGAGAAGGCTAAAAATGTTAAAACTGTGATATTTTAATGTCCCTTTGTAATGACAATGTTCATACATTGTAAAGGGCAGCTGACATTTCAGCAAATGGTGTAAAAATAAACAAAAAAAAGAAAGAAATGGAATAACAGCTTTTCTTATAGCAGCAACGATATGCAAACGAACCCACATCAATCACAGAAATCTACTTGTCCCTAAGATTTGAACTGATGTCTTTAATCTGATCAGTGTGGTTTCTCACTGTCTCCCATAAACACGAGAGCTATCAGGTCGTATTTGCATTTCCTCTGAAAGCGTGAATAGCAGGAAATTGTGGGCCGATGCTGATATCCAATATTTTTCATGTTCACATATGTCGATGCTGATACAGAAACATTTATAAAATGTAGAAAATGGGACTAAGTCTACTTAGATTAGATTTATAGTGATAGATCATTTGTTTTTGTTGGGTTACAAAATGAGTGAAATAATCAGCGGTATACAGACATATGACTGCAGACATCGCCGGAGCCTTAATGTCAAAAAGAAGCCAAAATTCATGAAGGCAAAATCATGTTGCAATTTTATATTAATTGACCTAGTTATGTTTCATAAATGAAAATAATCTCATTCAGCCTAATAAGAAACTAGAACAGACTCAGTTTATATCACAATACCTACATTTAGAGTCAGTTATTCATTCAACCTAATGAGAAACTGTAGAACAGATTCAGTTTATATCACAATACCTACATTTAGAGTCAGTTATTCATTCAACCTAATGAGAAACTGTAGAACAGACTCAGTTTATATCACAATACCTACATTTAGAGTCAGTTATTCATTCAGCCTAATGAGAAACTGTAGAACAGACTCAGTTTATATCACAATACCTACATTTAGAGTCAGTTATTCATTCAGCCTAACGAGAAACTGTAGAACACGACTATTTTGATTATTTACATCAGACCACTGAATGTTTGTTTAGGGTTGCTGTATAAAATATGGAGTTTCCAGTTTAGAAAGCTGTGCTACTGAGCTGGACTTTGGTGCTGTAGCTAATCTAAACTAGTCAAGTTGTAAAGGACAATGACTTTGCCACCATGCTGATGTTAGCTTGATTACACAAGAAAAAACTACACTCAGTGTCTCCTAACAGTTCAACATTTCACAATCGTACAGTATAAACATCACGTTAAATTTTAAACAATCTAAATTTACATATTCAGACAAAAACTGAGTAGAGTGAAAAGTGCAGATTCTAAACTTTCAATCCCTATAACATTTTTATCTGTGAGTAAAAGAGCAGATATTTTATTATTATTTGAAAAGTTATTGTTGTGTGTACAGTTTTGCTTCATGGAAAGAAAAAAGAGCCTTTACAATTTTGCTGTTTTTTTATTTGCTGACATCGAAACAAACAGAAATAAGTCAGAAGTGCAGAATGTAAAGAATGTACAGAATGTAAACAAAATTTTACATTTATTATGCAACTTTAATTAGTGACTATGCATTATAACGAGAAACGCCCTTGCAACCTCCTTGAAAACCACAGCAAACAACCTAGCAATGCCCACCTGGGATCCCAACCACCTACCAACCACCAGGGATACTAGAGCAACGAACTAGCTACACACTACCAACCACCTGGTACTGTTGTGTGTTTGTTATCGAACCGTGTAATTAATTATGTAATTACATGTATACAGTGTAGTTTGGGGCTCAGAGTGTATAAAGACGTCTTTGACCTCTCTGAACTGTCTGTGTTGTGCTGGAGGCCGCTGTGTGTAGGCTAATCAGCTGTTGATGCTCCATTTAGATACAGAAAGGTGTGAGAGATAAGAAAGACAGAGACAGTACACACAGCTGTCCTCTGTGCAAGCACGCGCACACACACACACACACACACACACACATACACACATACACACATACACGCACACACACACACACGCACACACACACGCGCACACACACGCGCACACACACACACACACACATGCATACGCACACACACACAGGGTGTCGGTTAAATGAACACTTGGGGATGAAACAGAATCCTTGAATAGTCATAAAAGTGTAAAAATCTAAATGTTAATTAAGCAATAAAACACGAGAGGGAGCGTCTTATCGTCATCGTCACGTTTCTGCGACCAAATCGCAGCTGTGACGTTATTTTGCGATAACACCCGACCTCGAGTGTTCTATTGCTTTTATACTACAGTTAAATAAAGTAATAAATAAATAAACTGGGTTGTGAACGCGACATTTAATGTTTTAATGTTAGCAGTTCCTTCACCAAATTGTAGTTCATTAACAAGCAGCTCATTGCTACGTCAGAGTAATGAACTCCGCCCACTCGCTGCACAGTCTGCTGTAAGCCTCACCTTTTGAAGTTTGGACTAAGCCATAAAACTGCCGCAATATCAAGTTCAGCTCAGTTTTGTCAGTTTTTGCCAGATCAGTATTAATGTTGTTTTGTTCCAGCCAGTCTGTAAAGCATCTTACAGCCCATTTAGTTTGGCGAATGGTGTTGGGTTCATTTCTGGCTGATTCCAGGTTGTTTAGCTGTTCTTCTGTCACAGCTGCCGACTGAAAAGCTGCTCAGTGGTGACGACAGTTTGGGAATTTAGTGTCGTCTCATCTTCAGAGTCTGACCAAATCGGCTGTCGGTCAAATGTGATCTTAAAAGTGTCCATTTTCTGTTTGTGGCAAAGTAAGAAGTAAAAACGTTCAAATGGCTTGAGAGTCTCCTACAGCTGCCTAAGTCGTTGCTTAGCAACGGCGTCTCAGCGGAGTGATGCAGTGTTTGTAAAAAAAACAAAACTTGATGTTATGGTGAAATATCAGCACGGTTAGAACGCTTCTCAACCGATCAGCTTGCGTGGCCAGAACTAACTGTTGTATAATTAGTATTTTTGATATGCTTATTACCTTTTTTCTAACATTATACAGTCATAAGCACAAGTTTGACCCCCTCGGTCTTATAAATAAAAAAAAAATAATATGTACACATCTCTACAGGGAACACATAACATGGGTCATTCTCCATTTGGAGTGGGAATTCAGGTGGATACATCTTTTAAAAAAAATTAAAAAAAAAATTTCTTTCATGCCAAAAATAAATAATTTTAATATGTCCATTAACATAATTCTCTGGTGTTATATGAATGTGGTGTAACACCAGTGACGGTGATTGCAGTGACATTCTAGTTAAAACTGAGGATTTTGTAAATTGGCTGACTCATTGGTGGTCAGGTGACCTTGTGCAACTATTTAAAATCAGTAATAAAAATGATATTTGGTATTATTTTAACAAAATTTTAATTACCCAGCTATTAAAGCACACAACACCAGTGACACATAAACGTTATGTGCCGCCTGATAAGCAAAACTATGAATTAATGAATAAAATGTAGTGAGCAGTGTTGGACTTGACTTCTCATGCAATGAGATGCTTCCTCTCTGATGAGCCTCGACCCAAAGAAGCAGTTTAATAGAGCTGAAAATACTGTGTTAAAATGTAATATAAGAGTCCTGATAACACCAGTGACCAAAATCGCTCTGGCAAATGATTTGTTTAAATAAAATACATATTTTTTAAGTGTAGTATAACAATAATATGAAAAGTAAACATGAACCTGTTGAATACAAGTTCCTAAGTTAAACCACTTAAAAATATTGTTTTATATTACAAATGTTTTTTTAAATGTCAAAAATTGATTTATCAGTCTACTCAGGCTTTCGCAGAGCTCAATAACAGATTAATAGCTGATCACATTGATTTATCAGTCTACTCAGGCTTTAGCAGAGCTCAGTAACACTGAGATTAATAACTGATCACATTGATTTATCAGTCTACTCAGACTTTAGCGGAGCTCAGTAACACTGAGATTAATAACTGATCACATTGATTTATCAGTCTACTCAGGCTTTAGCGGAGCTCAGTAACACTGAGATTAATAACTGATCACATTGATTTATCAGTCTACTCAGGCTTTAGCGGAGCTCAGTAGCACTGAGATTAATAACTGATCACATTAATTTATCAGTCTACTCAGGCTTTAGCAGAGCTCAGTAACGCTGAGATTAATAACTGATCATCTCATTGATTTAACAGTCTTTAGCAGAGCTCAGTAACTATCACTGCTAATCTCAATATCATCTGACACCATGAGATTGTGATAGCTTTGAAAGATTATTACATTTTATCAGCACTAATGGCTTACACACACACACACGCACACGCACACGCACACACACGCACACACTCACACACACTCACACACACTCACACACACTCACACACACACACACACACACACACACACAAAACAAAGGAATGGGTCAGTCAGAGAGAAATGCAGGGTTTACATTCCCTCCTCTAATGAGCTTCATTTATCTTCAGTATATAAACACTGGCGGCTAATCGAGTGTTTACACCTGCTAAACCTCAACACAGATTTCTCCTGTGTGCTTCACCCATCCGAGAGAACATCATGTGTTTATCCAACATTACTGGAAACAGCAGACATTCTTATGTTGTATAAACATTATAATAGTGTTCATTTCTTATCTCCTGACCCTGCGAGTTTAAACAAATCTGTCTGCTGTCCTCTGCTAGAGATCAGACTGAGGCTTCTTTAGTCAGTGTGGATTAGTCTGCATGTCTTCAGTGTGGCCTCCTTTTTAATGTCTAAGTGGACAATGTGTGCACTGCATGTATGTTTTGAATAAGTGCTCCAAGACTGGCCAGCAACGCCCTTAGAGTGGAATTCCACCGATTTTTCTAAATTTCTGCATAATTAAAATGATAAAATGTAAACAAAGCCATTCAGAGTGGAGTGCAGTCACTTATTCAGAACTGCTCACAGTGGGGGTGATAGGAACCAGACGTCTGAAGAGTTTAATGCCTCTAAAAGCTCCCTCACAATAAGTTTCTAACTAAAATAGTCATGAATGCGCTGCCTGCACCGAAAACTGTGACAAATCAGTCAGTGATGTAGTTCTTCATACCGTCCCATCACTGCTCATGATCTCTCAAAGCATCATGTATGGTTTCTATTTTAAAGTGTTCATGATGTCTCACCTCACTGGACTCTGCAGTGGGTTTCTCAGAAACAGCACATTTCCACGGTCCTTGAGGGCCTTTCCACTTACGCACGTTAAAGAGGGACGGCTGATTCAGCTCCGCACAAAACTAAAACACACAGGAGGGGAGAGAAGAGAATTCATTAGAAAAAGCAAAAATACAGGGGAAAAAAACAATACATTCACTGTGTGGCCCCTTTATCGGAAACCCTGCAGTTCACTGTTGCTTTTAATAGTCTTTCACATCAACTTCTGCAGTAACTATATGGTCAGACCTGACCCTGTTGAATATTCTACTGTCCGGGTGAAAAACATCAAAGTCAAACCTCATTCACCAACTGATCTTAAGAAGAAATCTCTTCTTAAAACCCACTTATGCAGTTTTCACAAATATTCTGACATTCACAAGTGTTTTCTTGCATGGCATTTGTTTTTAGGTAAGAACAGAATCTACACACACTCAAGAGCTCAAAGGAGTGAACAGTTCTGTGGTTTAAGAACACGTCATGAATCTGACGTAGACTTTTTCTTAGGACCTTTATCAAGAACACATTTAAGAAAGAACTTAAGGAGATATTGGTGAATGAGGCCCAATGTTCTTATACAGCCTTAATGCCTTTGGACACCACCATTTACGTAAAAGGCCCATACCATGAAAAACCTAATTCTCCTCACTTCTTTTCAAAATAAAAGAGTTCATCGTAGTACATAAACAGGTTACTTCCCAGTCTATACAGTCATGTGAAAACATGTAAAGAAATACAGTCTAAGTGACACATTTTGTTGATTTTTTAAGTGAAAAGAAGTTAAAAGATCATCTACATGGAACAATCATGACTGATTTGCTGTGTTTAAAATAGTGGAAAAAATTAAACAAAATATAAAAATATGCCATAACGTTTACACAATTTTACTTTTTTCTGCAATAGTGTATTAAAATGTGCAGAAGAGTGTTCTCTGTAGAGGATGTGCTGACTTATTCACACTTAAATCAACACGACATGGAATCTGCCCATGGGCGCCCAAACTTTTGCATACGACTGTATACAGAAAGCTGCAAGCTGCAAAAACAGCCTATTTTGGATTTACTGCTTTTGTGATGTCACAAAAATCTTCATGTCTACATAGATCCACCTATTCAGCCTACAGCAGTTTAGCTCCGCCCACTCACACTGAAGTTATAAGGAGTGTTTCAGCTCTTCAGCTTTTTCAGTGAGGCACAATACAGGGCAGCCAATCAGAACAGAGCTCATTTACATATATTAGTCTTACAGGCACAATAAGCAGCCTGTTTAATTCTAAGAGATAGAGAGAAGATGGAAAATGAACGCTTTTGTTTTTGATTCATAAAACCACACAAACGTTATAAGTGGACCTCAGGGGGAAAAATAATAGAATAAAATGTGGAATAAGGACCGTTTACTAATGTTGTTTACATCTGTTTTGATAAATAAAGAAGCAGTCAAAAGTTTGGGCACACAGTCATCATGGCTCTTCTGTATTTTTACTGTTTTTTAAGCATATTTAAGCATAATAGTGACATGAAAACTACAAAATAACACTGGATGCAATGGAGAATTGTTAAAGAATTGTTGTTATCTTTTAGAAATTAGCCCCCCTTTATGTGATCTTGATCATCCTCTCCAGCAGCTTCATGAGGAGCCACCTTAGATCCTTTTCCAACAGCACTAAAGAAGATACACACATGCTGAGACCTTGTTTGCTGCTCAAAACTAGAGCTTATATTTAAAACTCACACCTACACTGTAAAAAGTGGCTCGTCAGATCTACTTAAAAACTACTTCCTGTGGTAACAAGCAATCGAACTAGTTTTATTCAACCTAAATAACTGAATGAGTAAATAAATGAACGATTCTTTCAATCAATGAAGTTTTCTCGCTGAATAAAACTAGTTCGATTGCTTGTTACCACATGAAGTAATATTTTTAAGCAGATCTGACGAGCCACTTTGTACAGTGTAGGCACTGACCTCAGCTGTTAAAGTGATTTAAGTACTATGATGACATTCTTTATTATTTTTGTCATGAATTAGCTTTAAAAGAGCCAAATGTACTGCATTCTCCTACATGTACAGGCAGCTCCTTCCGCCTGTGATCCGCTCTTACTGAAAAAGATGTCCCTCATAAACATCTCAACATCTCCTCTTGTACAAGAAAGGATAAAGCCACTTAGATCTGAATGAAAATGCCATCACAATTACAGACCACGGGTGAAAATGAGCCGTATTACTCCAGCCTAAACAAACGTGTTTTTAATCTGGATTGATACCTACCGAGCCTGCATTTCTAACATTCTCTGGAAAGAGTTTAGGAGCTTTATAAGCAAATGATCTTCCACCGACTGAGCCACAAAAGATCCTAGGAGTCTGCAGTAAGCCTGATGTGCTCTAGATGGGCGGTAAGACGTGCCAGAGCTCGGCCATTAAGACCCTCTAGTTAATGCTGAACTGTTTCCATATTTAGCCCACAGAGCAACTTTCGAATCATCATGGGGCAAACAAAGGCCTTTAGCTCTATGCTAATGAATTAAGAATGTAAACAAAGCAATTAGAGCTTTAAGCGTGCCTTCACATCTCCAGCTGACGCTTTCTGCTTTTAGAGCTTTGTGCTTCCACTTTTCCACCAAAGCAACTGGTCTAGGGGTGAGAAGGGGGATCCCCTGAGGTTATGAATACAGTGCCTGATGAGGGAGACACTGTTTTATGACAGTTTTGAGAAGGTTTTGGCCTACAATTTATTTTTTAAAACCTATTCATGGCGAAGGGGTACATGCAGGGCACTGTGAGGCAAAATAGTCCCCAAAGAAAACACATTTTTTTTTAGATTTATCAGTATTTTTTTTATCATCAACATTACATATAAAGCGTAGCAGACACATGTAGGTTCACTGGTGCTTTTGGATAGTTAATAAAGTATAAAATTGCTACAGTAAAAATAAGTTAACACATCCTCTACAGAGGCCACACTACTGCACATTTTCATGCATAATTACTATTTACACCAATCAGGCATAACATTCTGATCACCTCCTTGTTTCTATGCTCATCGTCCATTTTATCAGCTCCACTTACTATATAGGTGCACTTTGTAGTTCTACAGTTACAGACTGTAGTCCATCTGTTTCTCTGCATACTTTGTTAGCCCCCTTTTACCCTGTTCTTCAGTGGTCAGGACCCCCATGGACCCTCACAGAGCAGGTAGTGTTTGGGTGGTGGATCATTCTCAGCACTGCAGTAACACTGATGTGGTGGTGGTGTGTTAGTGTGTGTTGTGCTGGTACGAGTGGATCAGACACAGCAGTGCTGCTGGAGTTTTTAAACACCTCAGTGTAACTGCTGGACTGAAAATAGTCCACCAACCAAAAATATCCAGCCAACAGCGTCCTGTGGGCAGCATCCGGTGACCACTGATGAAGGACTAGAGGATGACCAACACAAACTGTACAGCGATTAGCCATGTAAGAGATTAGCCATTGTCTCTGGCTTTACATCTACAAGGTGGACTGACAAGGTAGGAGTGTCTAATAGAGTGGACAGTGAGTGGACACAGTGTTTAAAAACTCCAGTGTGTGTCTGATCCACTCGTACCAGCACAACACACACTAACACACCACCACCACGTCAGTGTTACTGCAGTGCTGAGAATGATCCACCACCCAAATAGTACCTGCTCTGTGAGGGTCCATGGGGGTCCTGACCACTGAAGAACAGGGTAAAAGGGGGCTGACAAAGTATGCAGAGAAACAGATGGACTACAGTCTGTAACTGTAGAACTACAAAGTGCACCTATATAGTAAGTGGAGCTGATAAAATGGACAATGAGCGTAGAAACAAGGAGGTGGTCATAATGTTACGCCTGATCGGTGTATTTGCTGAATTTAACATCTGTTAAACTCAGTAAACAAATAGAAATTGCTCAGTAAAATTAGCAGCCACATAAGTGCCACATAAGTGTGTCTCTGTAGAGGATGTGTAACTTATTTTCACAAAACATATCATTTGACCAGGGGGGCTCAAACTATTGCATACTTTTGCATTTAGGCTGTAGACATTGTGATCCCTGGTTCCTATTAGCATCATTGTAAAGATATCTGAGTCTCTACAATCAACCACTTCACACCAAACCACTCTGAATTACTCTTTACGTCTCCGGCATAAAGTGAAGGTTTCCCAAAGTCCTGCTGCAACAGCAGAAACATCCTTTTTTTGTGTTCTTATCTTATCTTATTGTATTCTTTGCGTAATATGGTTGAATCTTACGTATAAGAGCAGGAGAAACACAAACTAGCTTGAGGAGACCAAGACTGGAACTGAAAACCCATCAAACGCTCTAAGCACTTCTGCCTCGGACACTTTTGCAAACATGCAAAACACCTGGCAAAGCAGCGCAGATCCAGAAGCTACTGAGCATGCCGCACAAGAGCGGTGCAATCTGATGAGGGCACTTGACATTTCCTATAAACTCTGACATCTATAATTAACCCATGCAGTGAGATTTCCTCTCAGGTACTGACAGACCTCTCCTTTATTCTAATGCTTGACTTTAAAGCGCTAGACCACCTCAAATACAATCGACCAGCCAAGAAACGCTTGGTGTCTGAAGTTCGCTTCATTAGTTTTAGTGCTGGAGCTACAAGGCTGGTGGAGAGGTACATGCAAGGCAAAATGAGGCAGAGCACTCCCCAAAGAACCTTTTTACCATCATCAGTGTTACATATAAAAACATATGAAGGTTCACTGGTGGGTTTGGGCAGTAAATAAAGTTGCTATATTAATAGTGTTGTAGACCCCTGGTTCCTATCACCTATAAAGTGACCAGTGAGTGGAGGCACAAGGTAGGTGTTTCTAATAAAGTGGCCAGTGAGTGGAAGTACAAGGTAGGTGTTTCTAATAAAGTGGCCAGTGAGTGGAGGCACAAGGTAGGTGTTTCTGATAAAGTGGCCAGTGAGTGGAAGTACAAGGTTGGTGTTTCTGATAAAGTGGCCAGTGAGTGGAAGCACAAGGTAGGTGTTTCTGATAAAGTGGCCAGTGAGTGGAAGTACAAGGTTGGTGTTTCTGACAAAGTGGCCAGTGAGTGGAAGCACAAGGTA